GTTGACTGATCTGTTTGATATAACAGAGTAGGGACTAGAGAGCTAGAGTGAATCTTCGTTTTTAATTGATAACATACTTAACATTTTATTTTTATCTAAAAATGTTGTAAAATGTTATGTGAAGATGTATGTGAAGAGTTGACCTAACGTTTCCAGTTCCTGGATGTTTTTTGTTAATATCACTGTACATTCAGAGCCTTCCTGATAGAGAGATTAAGTCCCTTGGTCAGGATTACTAGTGAATGTCAGAGCTTGGACTCAAACCTGTATCTGAGTTGGAAGAGTTCCTTGTAACTACTCTGCCTTTCAGCTTTTCTAAATTATGGTGCTAAATCGTTGATCAAGGCTGAAACTGGATGTATTTGCAGTCTTCATGGCTCATTATTTATTCTCCAAATTTTCTTTTGGCATTTACATTATGTTTGATTAATTGACAGATAGAACCTGAGTTTCGTGATAAATAAGAGGTAATGTACCCTTATATAATAATATGGTGTTTTAAACTTGGCAGTGGTTCCTTGGGAAGTTCACCACACGATGGGTCCTACCCTGTTTTTCTTTCCATTCTCTCTCTCTCTCTCTCTCTCTCTCTCTCTCTTGCTCTCTCTCTCCCTCTCCCTCTCTCTCTCTCTCTCCCCATTCTTAAATAGTTTATATATATGTGTGTATATATATATATATGTCTGTTATGTGAATAGATGCACATAAAATTAAAATAAAGAGGAAATAGCCTAAGTTTTTAAATATTAGGAGTGTGCTACCAACCAAATGTTAGAACCGAAAGGACAGTTTGATGTATACCTTATGAGGAAATGAGGATGTGTGAAATTATTGCAATTTTCTTCTGAAGTGTTTTAATCTCAAACTCATTATGTATGTGGTACTAGCTGGGCAATGAGGTAGAATATAAAACACTTAAGGTGTGTACTGTTCCTATTATGGAGAAGTTCACAGTCTTGTAAATAGAAGAAAACCCCATTTTAAAAAAGTAATTAATAATGGCAGCATAAGATCTTATAATGTAAAGCCTGATTCATTGCAAATAAATTACAACTACTATAGGAATTCAGGAATAGGGACAGAATGGTCTGCTTTGATCTGTGGGTGAAGTAGAGTTTGTGGGTGGTACTTACAGGATATTTGGAGTTTGAAGTAGGCGAGCACAAGGGATAAAACATTTCCTGCTTTCCTATGGCCAGAGTTTCTTTTTGAGGCGTCTGGAAGAAGAATTTGCTAGGTTGCGTAGTTCAATTGTTTTTTTTCCATGGTTACAAGCAGAAACATATAAGGGTGTGATTTTTTTTTCCCTTTTGAAATACAATCTATTTCAACTACTAAAACATCTGTCATATAAAGAAATATGTAAGCTTATGTAATCTGGCACTGTAGCTTTCTCTGCATGACATACAACGGTCCTTTTTGGTCTGATTCCTGCTTACCTCACCATCCTAATCTCTCATCCCTTCTCTCAGCTAAGCCCTCCAAAGTTGCCTGTTACTCTCTTTGGCCCCCAGGGCTTTGGGTATGTTGTGCCTTCTGCCAGGGTCACCCTCCCTACCCTCCTCCCCTCACTTCACCTCATTGTCTCCTCATCTTTTCAGGATCAGATTCGGTGTTGTTTATTTTTAGGAAGCTTTCTTTCACCTTCTCAAAACTGAGTTAGATGCCCCTCCTGAATATTTCTGTAGCATCCTGACTTCACCTAATCCTACTGCAATTTCCAGTTGTCACTAGAAAGTAAGCAAGCTTCTTGAGGTCAGAAATCGTAACTTTTTTTCTACCACTTCCGTATCCTCAGTGCCCTAATGCATTTTAAATAAATATTTGTTGACTTGGGGTTAGACCAAGCACCTTTTTAGGCATTCACAAGATACCATCTAACAGATAAGCTTGTTTATTTTATTAAAACAGTGTATATTGGTGGATGTGAAGTGTTTTAACTAAAAATATATTACAACCATCTATGTGAAAATCTTGGTATACAATGAAGTAGTTTCTGTTCAGTGAACTTTCAGAACATACTTGTTATCTTAGTGTTTTAGATTTTCCTTTACATTCTTTTGTTGAATGTGCCTATTATTGCTGTCCCAGCTATTTTTGGGGTGTGTGTGTGTGGGGGGGGGTATCTGTATGTTGCATATATTCCTATCCTTTATTTTTAATTCTTTTTGTTTTAGGTAAGCCGTGTTTACCCAGATTTTATTTTTTTAATTCATTTTGATAATCTCTGCTTATAGTAGGTGGTTTTAATTCATTTATATTTATTGCAATTAGTGATATACTTGGACTTAATGTCTACCATTTTGTTTGTTTTTCTTTGTTTTTTTCTATGCATGTGTCTGCCTTCAATTGGAAGATAGTTTTTGTTATTTTCTGTTTCCTCAGCTTTCTGATTATTGTAGATTATATTTCTATTTTTATATTTTTGGATGTATACCATTAAGTTTTTAAGACACATATTTAATTAAATTTTGCCAATAAAGTCTCGAGTTATTCAGTACTTTTTCCTCTTATATCAATCCCTAATTGATATAAGAAATTACATCAAATTTCTTAGTATTCTTTAACTATCACCTAAACATTCTCTTATTCATCGTATTTTTTCTTAGAGTTTGAGTTGTACACCTTTTTAAATACTCAGAAATGACCTTGTAAGTGATTAATAGTTAACATTTTTATCAATTTCTGTGGTAACTTGTTTCCTATAGCCCAGGGGTTGCCTTTGTATCCACTTCTTTTTGATGAACTACATTTTGTAATAACTCATCAGTAGGTGGTAAATTTTCGTAGCCTTTATGTGTCTAAAGAACACTTCTCCTTCATTCATAAATGATGGTTTGGCTACATATAAAATTTTAGACATTTTTTTCTTAGCTTTTTTTTCAGCTGAGCCATCCTGCCACCTGTTGGCAGCTCAGCCGGGCCGGGAATTGAACTGGCTACCCTGTTGCTCAGAGCTCACACTCTTGAGTGAGCTCTTAACCAACTGAGCCACTTGGGCAGCCCTTTTCTTAGCTTTTTGAAGACATTACTCCATTGTCTTCTGACCTCTGTGCAGCTGCTGAGAAGTGTCTCTCAGCCTGTCATTCCATTGAAGTATTCTGTTTTTTTTTCCTCTGACAGCTTTTATGATTGTGTTTGTATTGTTGATAGTATGCAGTTTCTCTATAGTATATCTAAAGTGGGTTCATGTTTATAGAGTCTAATACTTTTTTCTGTTGAATTTTTTTATCAAGGTATTACTTATGCAAAGGGTAAACTCAGTTAATTTTTACATACACATATAATCCAGGTTACCACCACCTTGATCAAGATATAGAATGTTTCCAACAAGGTACAAGGGTCCCTGTGCTGCCCGCTCCCGGTCAATATAACATAGGTAGCCATGATTCTAAACTCATTCAGAACTCTTCCATTTTGAGGGTGTAGAGATCTCCTTTCAGTTCTGGGAAATTCTCAGCAATTATCTTTTCATGCATTGCTTCTCCACCATTTCCTCCAGTCTCTTCCTTGGAACTCCATTAGGCAAACATTGCAGCCTCAGTCTATGTCTGACTCTTCTTTACTATTAATATTTTTTATCTTTTTCTGCCTGTATTAAGTTCCAGGTAGTTCCTTAATGCTGTCTATAATTACCAAGTCACTTCACTATGTCCATCTAGAATATATCCCATTGATTGTTTTTATTTCGCTGACTGTATTTTTTATTTCCAAGAGTCCTATTTAGTTTTTTCTTTCTACATGATATTATTTTATTTCTGTATATTCCTGTTTTTTTCTCTCTCTTGTTTTTGTGATTAATCTTTTATTTTCATTTCTATTTCTGAACATCCTCAAGATACTTGTTTTAAAAATCTTGGGCAGGTTGCACTAAATGAATTGCATCTGAAATGACTTTCTGTTCCAATTATTGATTGTTGTGGTTTTCTTTCTTAGCATTAGATTTCTTCATGTGTTTTGAAACTTAGTTTTGCAGAGTCTGCTTTTTAGTGGAAGGTTTTTGTTTGCATTTCAGTGTCTTCCCACCTGCCCCCTACTCTCCCCCTCCCTCACCCCCCAGTCAGGGATTTTGCTGTTGATATTGGCGATAATAGCAGGTACAGTAATGGGGCCAGAGCGCCTTGACTCCGTGCCTGGCACTGAGGCATGTTTTTTTGTTTTCCACCTTCCTAGACCCACAGTTCTCATTAAAGCCACAGTCCTAGTCACTAGGTGTTGATTCCCCATTTTATCAGCCTCCAGTTACGAGTACAGGAACCCTGACCCAGTCCTGGTTTTTAAGTGGAGAATCTGATTTGAGTCCTCTGGCTCCATGATGTCACTTTAAGTTCCCTTTACTTCAAAAGAACCTTTCCTTCCCCCAACCCCTGTGCCCCCCAACCTGCTTCTAGATCTAGAAACCAGCAAGTGAGATTCTGCTCAACATTTTTGAGTTTCTTTACTGTTTCTGTTGCACAGAAGTGTTTCTTATTGGACTTCAGTTGTATCTTTGGTCACCTGTCTTTCTGCTTGTTCTGCTTTATTCATTTGTGCTCTATGATGCCGGCAGGTTTTCTGAACCCAACTTATGCTGTTAACCCAGAAGTGCTATTACTTGTGAAACTTTGCTCTTCATGGAATAATAGTCAAAGTATATTAAAAAGGAAAGAATGTGGGGTCTAGAATTGCTTTGCTCAGAGGAGGATATGTATTCATTGCTGTTGTCTCTAAAATGTGATTTCATTTTTAATATTTACTCAATAATCTTTGTAATTGCTTTTTTGTTATCACAAATGCAATTTATGTCCATTATAGAGCTTTTGGAAAATAATAGCAAAGCATGTATAAACACACATGCAAACACATACACGCACAATGAGAATTACTTGTAATTCCACAGCCCAGAAATAGCTACTGAATGTTTTGGTATTTATTATTCATGTTTTACATATACACACACCAACCCACATACTAATATTCATACTTGAAAAAAACAAAACAAACTCAGACTTGTTTTGTAGGTGAAGCTGTGAGTGCTGGAGATGCCTTATGTGAAATAGAGACCGACAAAGCTGTGGTTACCTTGGATGCAAGTGAAGACGGCATCCTGGCCAAAATAGTGGTAGGTTTTTATCTTGATTGTTTTCAACAGGTAAAGATTTTTTCAATGTAAAGTTACTTGAAATGAAGTTATCTTTTATTTTTACCTTTAATTTATGCTGTTGTGTTATCTGCTACGTAATACGTTTTAAATTCAGATCTTTGAATATTTTAGTGTTCAGGTCTAATAATAGCCAGCGATGGTCAAACATGGAACTGTTTCAACCTTAACAATGGTCCTCAGTGTTTTGGGTCCCAATTTCCAAGTTTAACGTTGGTAAAATGAAAAAGAAGGAATATTTTACTCTGATCACATGAAAATAAGAAATCTCTTCGTCGATCCCCAGGACTCCCAGGACTGTAAGTGTGTCAAGTTACCACCCGCTCAGCTCCTTTCTCTGGACAGGACTGTTTTAAGTTGTCCTATGTAGCCTTGTCTGTAGATTTCATAATCACACTCAGGGGCCTGGTTGAATCCTTGCTCATCCTTACAATTTGGACATTTTTATAATCATTTAAAATATATACTTATATTAAAAAGCTGTGTGTATAGAATATTTCACATATTTGAATGTAGTTGACAGTCTTATCTGTTGATAGTTTATTTTCTGTTCCATGAGCGTTTTTATGGAGAATGTGCTTGTGGATCTAGTAAGACCAGTCATTTCCTTTTAGATCTAAATTTAAATATATGCAGTTGTTAAACAAAAGCCTTTCCCAGCCTAAAGCTTTTCTAAAAGAAGGGGTTCATGAGCCAAATGCTAGCCAGAAAAAGGACCAGGTCCTGTGGCGCCAAGTCTGAACCACCAGCAGCAAGGATAGGTGGAGAAGGCAACACGTCAGTCTGCTGTCCTGGAGTTAAAGGGCTCTTACGCAAACAGTTTGGGGAAGAAAGATGCAAGTTGTTTTGAAAGAATTTGCATTGGCTGTATGGACAAAAGGGGTGGGCAGCAGTCCAGAAAGTTCCTGCATAAGCAAGAAGGAGGAGGCGCTTGGTGGTGGGCAACTTGGCTGTTCTCTGTCAATAATTCTGGAAATATTGGGTTGTTGGAAAAGTCATAACGTATTTTTTTCTGTGTTTTTCGTTGCAAAAATGCATCATGACTTTTCCCACAACCCAGTAGCTACCTGGAAGGTAATTCACTTTCACATCCACTCAGGAATGTAAGCAGTTTTGTTGGTTTTGCCCTGCAGTTGTTAACTGATTAACCTCTCTTATCTCTTCCTTCCACCCTCTGGCCTGCTGTCCTTTAATTTAGGAGTTCTCAGAATTTTCTTCTGGCACAGTCATTTTGAGTGCTTTTCTCTGGGCAGTCTTTACTTTACAACTAATTTAAAATGTGGAGCTACAACTTGGATGCTCTAGTGGTTTTACTAGAAGCTGAAGTTAAGTGGAGCCCTTCAACCAAAATGTCTAACAATAGAAGAGGGGTTACTTAAATAACGGGTAAATATGAAGTATCATGTAGCCATTAAATACTGTTTCTAGAAGAAATTGTGATTTCTTTACATATGTTCTACATTAATAAAAATTCAAAAAAAATTTGGAAAAATGCTTTTAAAATTGTGTATGGACAGACAGTGGTTACAATCTTGTAGGACTTTAAGGAAAAAACGTAAGTATAGAAAAGATTAGAATAAAATGTTATAAAAATGTTGAGTGAGTGTCTTTGGGAAGTGGAACCAAATGATCTTTCTTCCCCATTTTTCCTGGATTTTCTAGATTTTCTGTCATAGGCTTATTATTTTTAAAATGCAATATTAGAGTTTATGTGAAAACTAGGTAAATTAAAATGCTTAAAGCCTGACTATTTAGGGTTACCTGGTGTATTCACTGATGGTGCATGTTTATTTCTTAACTTCCAGAACATTTAATAGATAGTATGGTGTAGCAGCTAAGATTGTAGGCTCTAGAGTCACACTGCTGCCTGACTCATATAGCTAGTAAGTTCTGCCAGTTATTCGTTACGTAATGATTGGCAAATTCTTTTAACGTCTCTCTGTCTTTTTCTTCATCATGAAGTGGAGATGATAATAATATTAACTATGTAATAGGCCAGTAGTGGAGATTAAGTGAGATAATACATATACACTCATCACAAGACCTGTCACCCACCAAGTGTCAATAAATGTTGCTATTTCCATTATTATAATTATTCACTCAGCTCTTGGTGACCATTATATCCCTTGCCTTTCTGTATGTTCGTCTAATAATCTGTATTGGTTGGTTGTGACTAGACAGTAAGTATCCACTCATGCCTCTGTTGTTTGATTTGTACAGATAATCTGCATGTCTATTAGTAGTCTTTTGTTGATGTGCTTTTGATTCTGAAACTCCAGCTCACCTCTGCTTTGAGCATGGATATAACACCGCCCTTTAGACAGTCTATCTGAAGACCACACTTTGGAATGTTATACTCTCGTTAGATGGAGATCTATGTGTAGTTTTTACTTGCATTTCTTACTAGAAAATCCCCTTTCCTTTTCTTCTAGTCTCTTGTATTTTATTTTTTGCATTCTAATTTGTCAAACTTCTTTGGTTGTCATCGCAATATTAATGGCTGTGTGAAACACATTGTTGAAAATGCTTCCTGGGAGGAAATGTGAATGGAAGGCTAAAGTTTCTGTACCTTTATAACTAAATATAAATATATGATGTAGCAGCTAAAATTGTAGGCTTAGAAAATATAAATATTCCTACCAAAAATAGTTTCTCTGATGAATTTATGCAGCATTTCAAAAAGAAAAAGGTTGTTTGAATTACCATATAAAATAAACCCAGCTACATTTTATTGTGTGTGCGTTTGGCAAGCTGTGTTCCTGGCCCTAGATTGTCTGGGTTGTTTGGCCATGAAAATCTTCCAGAATTGATAGCATTTTCTACTTAGCTGCTTAGCAATGCATTTCAAATCGCTTACAATGTCATAGGTCAGCAGGGCCTATTCATCTGGCCCCCTAAATGCCCTGGAAAGGGGTGGGGGATATGATTGATAGCAGCTTTAGTGGCACAAATAGCTATTTCCTTGCCAAAGAAAAGATTACATGTATATTTTAGGGCTTTATGGCTTTGTTATTATTCCACATGCTTTTTGGATAATAGGAATGGGAGTATATTTATGTCACAATGTATGCAATTTTATGGAGGGAAAAATGGAGAAAAAGTTGAGGTGGTATTACTGGGTTGTTTGTTTTTTCAGTCTTTTACCCCACTCCATCCCCAATCCCCAACCCCTTAATATAAGTTAAACCTTTGTCTTTCATTGTGGAATAATTCTCATATTAGCATACATAATAAAACGATTTTTTATAGGAATGCGTAAAAGAGATTTTTACTTAGAGAATCAAGGAGTTGGATAATGGAGCTTATTAAAGCCAAGTGATGATATAAAACTCTAGTTTTTAGTTTTTCCAATTTTTGAAAGGATTACAAATTATAACCTGTTTTGCTATTCACAGGGATTTATTTCCACACTTTAAGAGATTTTGCTTTCTTTTTCTCCCCCACAATTTTATTCATTTCTTTATATTGTGTCTTACAGTTTTTGCATCTAATTCCATTTCAAGTATAATATAATATTATTATATTTTAGTTAGAACCAGAAAAAAATACAGAAGCTCTTAATAATGTTAATAAAGAATATTTGTCCTCAGAGTAGATATTAATTTTATGGTTTATTTCCAATTTAGTTCAGTTAATGGGCAAGTTAAATTCTCATTTAATCACTAGTAAATTACTGAGCAGAAAACCTTAAATTATTACAGCATAGTAGTTCATAAGCTCAAATTTATTACTCAGCAAATTGGACAGCAGGTGTTTTAAAATGATAAATTAATAAAATAGAATATTAGGATGACATATTTGGAGAGTTTATTAGAGATTTTCTGCAATTTCTTAGCTGTGTCTCTAATACTATGTCAGTGGTGCTTTCTAAAGAATAGTATTTTTCAATATGGTTTTATTTTATTGGGAGGTACCCCTCCCCCCTTTATTTTTATTAAATTGCCCACAATTGCCTGCAAAGTTGCATTTTATAGTTTGAAAGTTTATGGATGAAATTTGAAGTTGTGAGACTTTTCATTGATTCTTCTCTGTGAACTGATATTTTTAATTAAGAAAATACTCTCTGAAATCTCAGAGCAAATTCTATTAATGGGAAGATATTCTCAGTTTTAATTTTTTCCTATTGAAATCAGTAAATGACATATTGAAATGGTAAATGAGTCTCTGTTCCCCAAGAATTAAAAGCTAAATCAAGTATAGTCCACTTTTTATCTTCTCTTTTGAGCTTGTTTTTAAAAATGGTAGCACTATGCTGAGGTGCTCTATGGTAATTTTGATCATGTGACTGCAGTCCATAGGTTTGGTACTGATCTATCATTTTTCACGCTGTCTCAAATGTCAGCATTTGACTCCTGGCTTTGATACCTAATGGCCCTGAGAGTTTGAGGAAGTTATTTTAACATTTTTGTGGGAATAATATTACTTAACCTCATAAGATTGTTAGGAGAATTAAATGAGTTAATACTGTGCTAGGACAGAGCCTGACCCTTGAATGCCAGAATGTTATTCAAGGACTTAATGTTTCTTTAGCCCCTCTGCATTTTAGCTTCTCTTGCTGTTGCTTTGTTTTCAGCTTCAGTGTCTCTTATATATCTTCCTCTTAAACCCAAATTCATTGTGCATATAAGTTAATCAGTATATACTAAAGAATAAGAACAATTTGAAACCGTATAATGGTTCAAACCATGATGGAAACTCTTTTTAAGTTTTCAAACCCAGGCAGGTGGCCCGCTGTGCATGCTCCTTCAGTGCTCACTCCACAGCGCTCAAGCTGTTCTAGTTTTCAAAAGAAAAATATTTAAAGAATTGCTTAACTTATTGATTGATTTTTCATGTCAGAGTCAGAACACTGGATTGACCAGCAACTTACATGGAATGAACTTCCTCACACACTTTCTCTATTGGGAAATGTTGCTGTCGTTACTTTGTGTCTCGACTTCATCTCCTGTCCTTTGGTGTTTGGTACACTGATGTGCATAGGTGGCTGCATTTAGCACATTTCCAGGTGATTTGTCAGCCTCTGGAGATGTGTCTGGCAAAGAGGCCCCATCCTAAGGGTTCATGCCTACGGATGGAATTCAGCCTCTGTAGAGTATTATGGAAAATAGTTTGTCATAGGCCTTCGCACCTGTTGTCTCTCATGTGTTGCTGTTTATTCTCTCGTGCTGCCCGCCTTATGCCTGGCATTGAGGCATGAATTTCCAGCCCTTACCAACGGGGCACTCCTCTGTAGTCCAGTCTTGATCCATGAGTGTATTGTTTTGTTTTAAAGTCAGTCACTTGGAGGAAAGCATAGTAATAGTAATAGTAATAGTAATAATAATAATAATAATAATAATAATAATAATAATTTATTTCACATTTATGTATCAGTGGTAGTTACTAGATGTCTGGTACTGTTTTAAGGGTCTTATATCTAACTCTTATTCTTCATAACAACTCTGTGAAGTAGCGACTATTATTTACTTCCATTTTACAGATGAAGAAACAGTCATGGTGAGATAAACATTACTAAGGCCACCTAACTAATTAGTAGCAGAGCCAGCATCGAAACCCAGGAAGTCTAGAGAAAACTAAGAGGGTGAGCCAGTACTTTGAAGGACAGATTCCATATCCAATGCTTTAGCATTAATCAGCAGTTTTAGCAGGGCTGAAGTATAAAAATCCTGCATTTGATTTTAAGAGCTCAGTGGCACAAGAGTAGAAGAGGAGTAAGATCAAGTAAGCCAGGTGCCCGGGAGAAGAACTGGGCATTCGAGGTGTCCTCTCACCCCGAATGCTCTCCTGGAGTCCAGCACATTCACAGTGCTAACTCAGGGAGCAGTAACAGGGGCTGGCTTGTTGGTTTCTAAACACAATTTGGAAAGAGCATTACTGACCCTCTGTTACTAAGTCTATGCCAATTTTAAATATTGCTGACTACAACATAAGCAAACTAGTCTACAGGAAACTAACACACCTCTAAAAGATTTCTTATTTCTAAGGGAATTGAGAAAATCAGAGAAATTTTCTTAACTTCATTTAGTGATTTTAATGACTTAAAATGGAATTGTTATAGACATTATTTTCTTTGAACTTCTTTTATACATTTAAGTTGTGTGGTAGTATGCACTTGTCTGTGCCTGTTATAGTTGGGTATCATGCTTCATGGTGTCATTTTTTAATGGGAAAAATATGAATAGTTAAAAATAAGACTTATTTGATATTTAGATAATGTAAAAATGGAAATGATACTAAATGCTCATTGTTGCCTACTTGTGAAGTACTCAGTTGGTAGAGTATATATGGAATTGTTTATATGATTTATTGTAGTAAATGAAACAGAGGTGAGGTGTCAGTTTTAGATTTAGTATAATGTCTGATTCAGAGTTCAGAAATCTATTCATATTTTTTAAATAAAATTTTCCCTTTTTTAAAGAATTCTTTGCACGGGAATGATGTTCTTTGTACTTGAATATTGATCCTATTTCTGGTTCAGTTTGGATAGGAATTAACATCAAGTAGACATCATATTACAATGCTTTTTTTCTATCAATTTTTTTAGAATATTAGTCATTGTACATTGTGATTTTGAGTTAGCAGTTCAAAAGCAGGTAATTAGACATTTTTGGAAGAGACAATGTTAACTTAATAAATAATCTTAACTCATCTTTTGATGCAGTAAAGACAAATGAACAGTCCACAAAGTAAGACATTTTTAGTACGTGACAGACAACTAAACAGATTGTTCTTGGGTTGTTTAGTGTTTTTCCACAGGTTGCAATTACTTAAACATCTTTAGTTTTATATACCCATGTCTTACATATATATATATTTCTTCATCAAAGCAGTGTGCCTGTTCTCCATCAGTAATTAGTAAACTTAGAGAGCTTCCTAACTCCCAGAACTTATGCCTTATTATTTTAGGAATAGTGCACATACTAATAAGCATCAAAATTCATGTTACTGGGCCGGCTGAGTGGCTCAGTTGGTTAAGAGCTCACTCAAGTGTGCAAGCTCTGAGCAACAGGGTCACCGGTTTGATTCACGGCCTGAGCTGAGCTGCCGCTGAGCTGCCAACAGGTGGCAGGATGGCTCTGCTAAAAAAAAAAAATTCACATTACTCAGAAATGTCAGACTCATTCTAGGAGTTATGCATTTACTTATAATCACTATATTAGTGAATGTCCTGCAGTCTATCATTCAATTATTCATTAAATTACATCTGTAATAAATCTTATTTCAAGTAATTGAAAGGGAATAATAGAAAATTTTAAAGGAATGACATTTTCTTCAGTACTTAAGTTATAAAATATTGTCATCTGAAGGTTCTCTAGGGACTTTTTTAAATAAGTAAATAAGAATCAGTCCTTTATAAATTAATGCTGTTGAAATGCTTTAAATGTATTTATCTTAAGTATTATCTTTGATCTTATTTATGCTTTTAATTGGCATTATCTATGAGAAAGTGTTTGGTTACCTGAGACACCGCCATGTTTCTGATGTACTTATGAAAAATTCATGAGGTTTTATTTCTCAAGTGTGTAAATATATATACAGAAAAAGAGTTAAATATAGAGAAAGATGGAAATTACACTTAACATTAACCAGAATAGTTAACCAATTCTGTCTATACAATGTCTTTTTTCCAGACTAAGTTTCGTGAAAAGATTTTTCTTTCAATTAATTTTAGTAAATAGGTCTAGTTTGGGGGACTTAATCCCTTATGGGCTCCTGGAATTCCTAAGCCATTGTGTAGAAACTGTCTGTGAAAGACAAATAGTTGAGCTATGTAACCACAGTCTCCTGTTTTGGATTTGTTCTGATTGACATCATTGGAAGATGGTAATGAATAGCTCTTGTGTATTTAAAGGCTGACAGAAAGAGGAGAGATTCTGGATTTTTTCGTATTTCAGGAGATATCATTAGTAACTGGGAGGGAGAGAGTGGTTAAGGGAGGTATAAGTGAGAAAAGGCAGGAAAGGAAGGTGATTGATGAGACGAGGAGGAGGAGGCAGGCTATTTAGCTCAAATTAAGAGATCTTTCTAACCAGTACAGGATTATCCGACAAAAGAATAAACTGCTTCAGGAGGTCATGAGCCTTTGCATCTCTGTAGTTATTTTCTTTTTAAAATACAGGTTGAAGAAGGATCTAAAAATATACGGCTGGGTTCGCTAATTGGTTTGCTAGTTGAAGAAGGAGGAGATTGGAAACATGTTGAAATTCCCAAAGATATGGGTCCTCCAGCCGCTTCAAAACCATCAGTGCCTCAGCCCTCGCTGGAACCACAGACTTCTGCCCCCGTCAAAAAGCAACACACACCGGGGACACTGCAGTGAGTGTGTTTATTTGAATGATGTAAAAAAAAAAAAATGTTATAGCAACTTTTAGGGTAATTTAATCATTACAGTTAAAATATTTTTTTTTTAAACATTCACAATGAGACCTGTTAAGATTTTTATTGGGGAATTGGGGGATAACAGCGCTGGGGAATTGGGAGAAAGGGGAACAGACAAGTTGCTGTCGTTTTGTTCTTCAGTCTAGTTGTGGAGGACATTGCTTCACTGGCCCAAGTTGGCACCATCATTGCGCTCTTTTTTGGCGAGGCAGATCAGTCGCCGGCTTCTGGACGGCCGCTCACTGCGGCTGCTGGCTGCTCACTGCGGCTGCTGGCCGCTCACGCTGGCTGCTGGCCGCTCACGCTGGCTGCTGGCCACACATGGTAGCCCATGGCAATCCACTGCCACAGGGACTGCAGCCCACGCCGTCGCCGGCGACTCTCGGCAGCCCAGCTCCAGGTTGAGCTGTTGTTCAGCATCTTAGCTGTGGAGGGCAGTGTCACTGGCCCTCACATGTGGGATCCGAACCGGGGCCCTCTGGCATCCCAAGCGAGTTCTTAACCATCGCGCCACTCGGCCGGCCCTAAAATATTTTTGTACATTAAGAAGTTACTGGTCTTCCCTTTTTTTCCTTAGGAAACTGAGATCTTCCCTTTTTTCTCTTAGAAATGAGTATTATACCATCATTGTTCATTCAACAAACAGTTATTGCATACCTGCAATGTTCCAGATACTGCAAAGGCCCTGCACACCCAGTAGAGAATGAAATGGTTTGTGTTCACATTGAGCCTGAATTAGGTTTTAAGATTCCAGATGCAATTCAATATATAAAACTTCATATTGTGTTCCCATTTATAGATTCTAATCACTGCAATGTGAATTCCAGTTTCAAATGTATAATTGCTATAAAATGGAATTAGCATTTTAACATGCATTTCTTCTCCAGCTATTCTGCATTTAAGTTTGACACAGATGAGAGCTCAATTTTGTCTGAAACAAAACAGATACTTACTAAACACCATTTTACTTTAGGTTTATATAGCTTTAATTGATGGACTCTGAAAATTCTAACAAGTTTCATTTGTTTATGTTAATAGCCTCTGTAATTCAAAGTTATTTTAGAGGAAAAAGTTATCTGTAGAGAAAGTCCTAAAAACCACTTTTGAACTTACGTAAACATGCAAAGCCCTTCATTTTAAAATATGTTTTCCCTTTAGTTTACCTTGTCAGTTTTTGTCAGAAAAAATTCACAGCGTTTCTGAGGTAATGAATGTTAAATTCTTGTTGTCACACAGTATTTCTGGCTCCATTGCCTTAGCTTCCCTTTTTTTTCTCTTCATTTTGCCATGAAAATCAGAAGGTGGGCTCACAGACATTTTATACTTACTGCTCTTCTTCCCTTGCAAAGATAATAGCGTGTACTGTGTCATCCTGTCGTTATAGACTTACATAAGCCTGAGCCCCGTGGTGTAGATTAAAGACCAGCTGAGCTGTCAGCCTGCACGATGGTGGCCCACAAAGTGATTTTCTCTTTTTAAAAAATATTTTTGAATTGGTTGGTGACTAGTTAATCTTTCACAAAAATCTAAATTATAAGTTTCTCTTGAAAAATCTAAAGATTTGGTAATACTGAGTCCATCTTCAGATAGAGCTATTTCCCTGAATGTAGCATGTACCACATTTGTTCCTCTTCATTAGCTATAAACTTATGGACCCAGCTCATTTTATAATTTCCTTTATCTGACTACATAGTCATTTGTGTTTGCTGCTGTGCTTAAAGGTCTCAATGGAAGAATAAACACTAGTCATGTGATTTTCGGTGTGCCTCAGTTTACTGTCTGTAGAACCAACATAATTGTTTTTGCCTCTTGCTCTTCTGGAGTGTATGTAAAGTAAAAATGCTTTCGTGTAAATACTAAGGACTTTAGCAAATATGTGAAGGATGCTATGCAATGACAGCAAAACAACCTAATCAAAATAGGCAAAAGATTCAAATACACATTTCTTCCAAAGAAGATGTACAGATAGCCAATAAGCACATGAAAAGATGTTCAACGTCACTGATTGTCAGGGAATTGCAAATCAGAACTACAGTGAGATACCACTTCACACTCATTAGAATGGCTATTATCAAAACCAAACAAAAAACGCCCCAAAAAACCCTGAGAAAATAACAAGCGTTGGCAAGAATGTAGAGAAGTTAGAACTTGTGTGCACGGTTGATGGGAATATAAAACGGTTGAGAAACAGTATGACAGTTCCTCAAAAAATTAAAAATAGAATCTCCTTATAATACGGCAGTTCCTCTTCTGGGTATATACTTAAAAGGATTGAAAGCAGGAACTCAAAGAAATATGTGTACACCCATGTTCGTGAAAGCATTATTCACAATAGCCAAGAGGTGGAAACAACCCATGTGTCTGAAATGTGCTATATACATACAGTGGAGTATTATTCAGCCTTAAAAAGGAAGGAAATGCTGACACACACTACAACATAGGTGAACCTTGAAGACATCGTGCTAAGTAAAATAAGCCAAGCACAAAATGACAAATACCATATGATTTCCACTTACAAGGGTTGGTTACCTAGAGTAGTTAGATTGATAAGGACAGAGAATAGAACGATGTTTGCCAGGAGTTAGGGGAGAAAAAAAGGGGGATTACTGTTTAATGGATGTACAGTTTCAGTTTGGGAAGATGAAAAAGTCCTGGAAATGGATGGTGGTGAAGGTTGCAAAACTGTGTGATGGTACTTAATGTTACTCAATTGTATACCTAAAATGCTTAAAATGGTAAATTATATATATTTTACCACAAAATAAAATGAAGGAACAATATATAATAGTTCTTTATTGATCCATGTGATGAGCCATGTGAAAAGTTATTCAAAATAGAAGCTCTCTCCTTACGAATATTTACTCTTTTTAAAAGAATATTTTGAAATAGTAACTAGTTAAATTTTTCTTAACATTTTTGTAACCCTTTTTTTATTTTGTTTTCCAATTACAGTTAACATTCAATATTGTATTATTGGGTTGTCGGAAAAGTCAGGACGTATTTTTTCTATGTTTTTCATTGCAAATTGCATCATGACTTTTCTGACAACCCAATAGTTTCATGTGTACAGCATAATAGTTAGAGATTTATATAATTTGTGAAATGATCCCCCCATAACTCTAGTATCCCCCCTGACACCGTGCATAATATATTATTGACTATATTCCCTGTGTACTTTACATTCCCACGACTATTTTGAAACTACCAATTTGTATTTTTTAATCCCTTCACCTTTTTCACCTAACCCCCTAACATCTGGCAACCATAAGTTTGTTCTCTGTATTTATGAGTCTGTTTCTGTTTTGTTTGTTCATTTATTCTGTTCTTTAGATTCCACATATAAATGAGATGATATGGTATTTGTCTTTCTCAGTCTGACTTATTTCACTTAGCATAATGTTCTCTAGGTCCATCCATGTTGTTGCAAATGGTAAGATTTCCTTCTTTTTTATGACCAATAAATATTCCATTGTATATATGTAACACATCTTCTTTATCCAGTCATCTGTTGATGGACACTTAGGTTGCTTCTTAGCTATTGTGAACTATGCAGCAGTGAACGTAGAGATGCATTATCTTTTCAAATTAGTGTTTGGATTCTTTAGATAAATACCCAGAAGTGGAATTGCTGAGTCATAAGTTAGTTCTATTTTTAATTTTTTTGAGGAATCTCCATACTAAGTAACTAGTTACATTTATATGAAAATATTTTGATGGTAAAATAAACCAGATTAGTGCAGATTTATTTATTGGTCTGTGACTGTCTTTGGGAGTCATTTTAGCTTTATTGTTAGTTTTTATTTTTCTAATTATCTGCAGAACTGTTGACATTTAGATATATTTGAATCAAATATAAGTGTTAATTGGTTCCACTAATCTTCATGTTTTCTTCTTAGGCTTCGTTTAAGTCCAGCTGCCCGCAATATTCTGGAAAAACATGCACTGGATGCTAGTCAGGGCACAGCCACTGGCCCTCGGGGGATCTTCACTAAAGAGTATGTGCGTGCTTTCTGTAATAACCAATTCCACTATTTATCATGATCATTTATTCTGAAAGTATTTAAAGAAGAGTTTATTCAGTGTTAAGATTTAAAAGGAAGTACATTGCGTTTTTGTATTTTTGATTGCTTTTGTCAGTGTAAAAATTGTATTTTATGCAAGGGTTATTTTTTGAATAATTGCAGCATTACTGAAGAATAGTTCTAATTTGGTAACTAAGCCAGATCCTTAGAAATGGTAATAAATGCAGAAAATTAGAGTGCAGAGTGGTGAAACTTCATATTGTTTTAAGTTTATACCACATCATCATACAATCATATTTAAATTTCTGAAACATGGAAATATACTTTTAAAAACAATTTTATTATCTGTTTGAATTTTATTGACTTGTATTATCAAAGTAATTTCCATATACAGTTGGGTCTCTTTCTGGATTTTCTTTTCTATTGTGTTGATTAGTCTGCCCATGGCTTCTTAGTACCATGTTTTTTTAAAACCACATTCTTAATTATAAATATTTTATAGTATGCTTTAAAATCTGATAGGGCTATCCTTGCTCTTTTTTTTTTTTTCCTCAGTAAATCAGTTTTCTTGGTTCATTCTTATTTTGTTATTTTTCCAAATGTATTTTAAACAGTTTAGCCCCACTGGCAGAGTTGTGCTGGAGAACTATGGCATTTGTATTGGGATTGTGTCACATTTTAAATGAACTTAGAAAGAACTGGCATCTTAATGATGTTGAGTCTTCCTAGTCAAGAACACTGTTAGGCCTTTCCACTTGTTTAAACTTGGTGTCTTTCAAGAGTGTATTAAAACAGATGGTCCCTGCTGTATTGAAACTTAGGCTAGTGGGGAAGACAAAGATTAATTAAATAGGCATATGAACTAGTGTAAAGTTGCTGTAGTGGTAGGTGCCATGTTTCTATTGGCAGTAATCTTAAATTTTTGAAATTGAGTTAATGTTTTCAAGCAATATGCTTTTTTCCCCCTTTGACTAGTTGATAAGAATTGAGGGCTTCACATATTTAGTAGTCTTGATTATGTGCTTTTAAAAAACAAAGGTATCTTTGTTTTACAGAGTAATACAAAGGCAAGTTTATTGCTAGTTTAGTTATTTTTAATTCTAAATGATGTTGTGGGTTAGGTTTATTACATTAGGTTGTGCTGAGAGCATATTGAGCAAAATTAACAGTGGTATGATTTCCTGGCCGTAAACAAGCTAATTTGCACTAGAATAAACAATTTAGTAAATATCCTAACGAAAGTCATGAGCACAATAAAGTTGACACTTTCTGAATGTCATGTGAGAATTATTTCACTAGTATAAAGAATGAGGGTATGGTTTAATTTATGGATTGTTCATCTGCCAAATGACACTCTCCCCCGGAAAAGACTAATTTCCTTTTTAAAAATAACTGTCTAAACCCAATAGTTTGATAAATTTCTAGTTGTTTGGTTTTTGAAAATGTACACACATTGTAGCCATTGGACAAATAATATGAGTCAGCAGACCAGGTAAGATATAAGATTTACCTATCTGGCTCAAATAATTCATTTTGCTTCGTAGCCTTGATATCTCTATACACAGGGTGTCAAAAAAAATGTATACACATTTTAAGAAAGGAAAAAACTATGAAAATTATAATACTCAATATATATTGATAACAAAAGATGCATACAAGTCATGTGTATACATTTTTTTGGCACCCCCAGTATTTTTGTATCTTTCCTCCACATCTCACCTCCATTTTCTAAACGTTCTCTTATAGTTTGTGTTGCTAATCAGAGTTCCCTAATTCCCTCTTATTTTCAGGGATGCTCTCAAGCTTGTCCAGTTGAAGCAGATGGGCAAGGTCCCTGAAACCAGACCAACTCCAGCCCTTCCAGCAGCCCCCGCTGCTCCTCTGCCCTCGCAGGCCCCCGCCATGCCAGCTTATCCCCGGCCGATGATCCCACCCGTGTCAACTCCGGGACAGCCTAACGCAGCGGTAATGTCATCTGAGTAGACTTTTATTTTTCAGATTTAAGTGAGAGAGAATAAGAACTATTACTGTACGTTTTACAAGTACTTCTGGCCATCTGTTTTAATAGTACTGTAGTTTACTGTGTATAATGCAAGCTTTTTTGCCCAAATTTGTGAGGGAAAAGTAAGGATGCGAATTACACATGGGTAGTACTAACTCCATATCTATATAAATGTTTTCCATGCTTTTATTTATGCTTATGAGTTAAAAGTGTAACTCTAGAAATCAATAACGATATCCATATGCAAAATAATACCCTGGTAAATGATAATCGGTTTTGTTGAACTAACAGTGAACTTGAAACAACGAAGAGTTCTTGGCCTTCTCTGATGCGTAAATATCGTAAATTTGTTACCCGTACCTAAAATTTCTTGTACCTTGTATTGTATCTGTTTTTACATTTTGTAATTATTTGTTACCTAAAATTTCTTGTACCATAATATATTTAAAAATAAATGCTAAAATTCCTTTGTAATATAAAAAACAAGTACCTAAATGTAAACAAATAGAAATTTGAATTAAAAAATTAAAACGAAAGATTTTTTTCCCTGAAAGTTTGGGCCAAAAACGTGGGTGCACATTATACATGGGAGCGCATTATACACAGAAAAATGTGGTAGCTAAAAGTGATAAGGACAGAACACTCCACATGCTTTGTTTTGCTTATTTCCTAGCACAAACCAGATTTGTTTGTACAGTGCTAACTTCCGAAAGGAATGTTAAAATTATGATTTCAATTTAAATTTACTACATGTTCCACAACTTTAGTACCATATGTATGCTCTATAATCATGCTTTTCATGTCTTTTTTCTCGGTGGTGGTACCAGTAATTGGTAGCTGGCACTAGGCTCCTTTTGTGGGTATGTTTTATTTTTTTGACTAAGGGAATTGGTAGTCTCGCTGTGAGGAACTATTGAGACCGTATAGCTAATCATTCTTTTCTTCTCAGGTAGATGCAGTCTTGACAGTCCTTTTTTGTTTTCAAATCGCTCCATTTTGCCTTTCTATCTTCCTTTCCTAATACTTTTTATGTCATTTCCTTCCCATCAGAAGAAATACAGGATAATCAGGTTTATTTAAAATTGAACGGACACTTTAAAAAATAAACAGAGACAGACCTACACTGCTTTTTCTAATGGGGAAATATCAATATACTATTTTAAAAGAATTTGAAAACAGTACAAATTTCATAACAATCAGATTTTTAAATGTACATTAAAAATTCATGACTACAAACACAAAAACTTTATGCATAATCAAATCTTGCTTCTTAAAAAGAAAGTTTTCAAATTAGGAAGATAATCTTACTTTGAAATTTGTGTAGTATGTAGAGAGCATTTATTTCATTTGATCAAGTACTTTGCTCACAAAATGTGTAATTCCATAAGAGGACATTTATAAAAAGTAAATCAGCTGAACTTTCTGCCTCTTTGTATTGGGTTATCGGAAAAGTTATGACGTATTTTTTCTGTTTTTCGTTGCAAAAATGCATCATGACTTTTCCGACAACCCAGTATTATCCTGAAATGATTGTAATCTGGGCCCAGAAGGGAATGAAGGACAAGCATGGGATTAGATGTAATTTAAGGTCCATCGTGCTTTTGTTAGAGGTTCAAGGAACAGAATGTAAGAACTACAATCAAGCTACATGAAGATTTTATTATCTCATTCATGCTTTATATTATGAGTTTCTAGGAAATAAGGTACTCGTGATTTTTTTTTTTTTAATGACAAACCAAAATAGAAATAATTTGGCAGGTTATCCAGTATATTGGATTATCTTTTTCTGTTTTATGTAATTTTTTTCTAAGTAAGAATTGTTTTTAGTTGGTATATTGATTTATTACTGCTTTGAGTTTTATTAAGTAAGAAATGATGTTTATAACAAAAGTTGCTCTGGTGTGTATGTGCGTGCACATGCGTGCACACGTATCTATGAAAAATGACTAATGATTTGTTAGATTTCTTTTTAATTGCCTTAAACATAGTAACATAAGATGTGCCATTCACAACTGAAACATGAATTTTTCCACTTTTTCTACAGTCATACACTAAAGTTTTCTCCTACAGTCTTATACTGTGAAGTTGAAACTCACATTTTTTACATTCCTCCTTATACTAAGAATTTTTAATAGTACTGTTCCTATGTTAATCTTTAATTATTATCATAATTAACTGGGACTGCGTTTCTGTTACGAAGTTTTATTTTTCCCCTTCCTTTTATGGTTTAATGGACAGATTACTATTTCTTTGCAGGGCACATTCACTGAAATCCCGGCTAGCAATATTCGAAGAGTTATTGCCAAGAGATTAACTGAGTCTAAAAGCACTGTACCTCATTCATATGCTACTGCTGATTGTGACCTAGGAGCTGTTTTAAAAGTTAGACAAAACCTGGTCAAAGGTTAGTAAAGTTGAATTTACTTAATGTAATACACATGCTAATATCATGAAATAAATATATAAAATGCACATTTTGTAGATTTTTATTTTAATTTGATCACCTATTTCAGTTTCATCATCTGGGCATATTTTAGTGCTAGAGAAAAGAATTGGTTCTCTTTTTCTATAAGAAGTAAATTGGTTCCGTAGTATCGAATAAATCATATTTTTGATAATGGAGCAAAGCAATCCTTAACATTTTAGAAAGTATAAAATCGAGAACTAGTTTAAGAATGTTTTATATTATCAATATGTCTTAGATATCACTCTTCTTGATACAAGTTTTAATTTTTTAATTTCTTCAAAATGCATTTTAGGCTATTAAATTTGTAGTGTTCCTCCCCAAAATCAATTAAAACTAAGGTTGCATAGAAATATAAGAATTTAGCATGAACTGATATATCATTTCGTTCTTTCCAATCTGTATGGCTTGTATTTCATTTTCTTGCCTTATTGCGCTGTCGAGGACCTCTAATACAATGATGAATATAAGTGGTAAAGAAGACATTCTTGTTTTGTTCTTGATCTTGGGAGAAAGCATTCAGTCTTTAAAATTAGCTGTAGGCTTGTGTAGATTTCTTTTTTCGGGTGAGGAAATTCACATTTCTAATTTGCTGAGAGTTTTAAGCAAGAATGGATGTTGAATTTTGTCAGATGCTTTTTATGCATCTTTTGAGATCATCTTTCCTTTTACCATATGTTAATATGGTGGATTTTATTGGTTGGTTTCCAAATGTTAAATCAACCTTCTTTGCATGAGTGATTCCTCATTAATAAGGGAATAAAACTCATTTAATCATTAATTTTCTCATAATTGCTTGATTTCATTTTCTGAAATTTTGTTAAGGATCTTTACACGAATGCACATGAGAAATACTGACCTGTAGTTTTCTATTAACTGAGATGTTTTTGTGTGTTACAGGTCTCACAATATTAGTTGGGAAATGTTTCCTCTGCCTTTATTTTCTGGAAGAGTTTGGGTAGAATAAGTTTTATTTCTAATTGTTTGGTAGAATTTAATAGTGAAGCTGTTGAAATTTCTGGTTTTCTTTATGGGAAGATTTTTAACTATGAATTCAATATGAATTGGGGAATGTTTCCTCTACGATTATTTTCTGGAAGAGTTTGGGTAGAATAAGTTTTATTTCTAATTGCTTGGTAGAATTTAGCAGTGAAGCTGTTGAGACTTCTGGTTTTCTTTATGGGAAGATGTCTAACTATGAATTCAATGTTTAAATAGATACGAGTTGTCTATTTCTTCTTGAATGAGCTTTGTTGGTTTATGTCTTTCAAAGAATTTGCATATGTCATCCAAGTTATCAATTTGTTGGCATAAAGTTGTTCATAATATTACCTTATTATATTTCTAACATCTATGTAATCTGAAGTGATGTCCCAATTTTCGATATTAGTTATTTGTGTCTTCTAACTTTCTTGGTCAGTCTGGCTGGAGGTTTTATCAATTTTATCGACCTGTTCAAAGAGCCAGCATTTGATTTTATTAATTTTATTGTTTCTGTAATTTTGTTTTCATTGAGTTCTGCTGTCATCTTTATTATTTTCTTCTATTTGCTTTTATTTGATTCGTTCTTCTTTTTTTAGTTTCTTAAGGTGAAAACTGAGATCAATATAATAAACTTTGTTTTATTCCTAACATAAGAATATAATGCTTTTAAGTTCCCTTTAAGCATTTCTTAACTATATCCCATAAAATTTGCTGTTTTTATTTTCCTTTTCATTTAATTCAAGACGTTTTCTAATTTTACTTGTGATTTCTTTTTTTGATCCATGAATTATTTAGAAGTATAAGTTTAACTTTCAAATATTTGAGGACTTTCATATTATCTTTTATGATTTCTAGTTGAATTCCATTGTATTTAGAGAACATACTTTGTATGATTTAAGTCTTCTTAAATTTGAGATTTATTTTATAATCACAATAGGGTGAATTGTTTCATGAGTATTTGAAAGATTTATGTTTACTTTTGTTTTGAGAAGTGGTCTATGAATGACAGTTAGTTGAAGTTGGTTTTGGTGTTCATGTCTCCTGTGCCCTTACTGATTTCCTATCTCTTTGTTCTATCAATTCTTGAAAGAAAAATGTTAAAAATCCCCAATTATATTTGTGGATTTGCCTGTTTCTTTTTTTAGTTCCATCAATTTTTGCTTTGTGTATTTTGAAGGTCTGTTTTTAGGTACGTACACATTTAGGATTTTATTTGTTCTTAATGAACAGACCTATCATGTAAAGTCTCTGTTCCTGGTGTAATATTTTTTATCCTCAAACCTTCTTTATCTGATAATGATATGGCCACTCCAGCTTTCTTTGATTAGTGTTTTTATATTATATATTTTTATATGTCTTTATTTTTAATGTATGTGTATCTTTATATTCAAACTGGTTTCTTGGAGACAGCATATTGTTGGTTCTTGCTTTATTATTCAATCCTACAGTCTCTGTCTCTTATTTAAGGTGTTTAAACCATTCATAGTTAATGAATTTGTCCTTTGTTTTTCCTTTGTACAATTTGTGGTCCTTTGTACCATTTTTATCTTTTTTATTTGTCCCATCTCTTTCTATTTTTCCTATTTTCTTGCCTCCTTTTAGATTACTCTTTTTTTGATCCCATTTTTATTTTTCTCAATATTATCTCTCTCTCTCTCTCTCTCTCTCTCTCTCTCTCTCTCTCTCTCTCTTGCTCTCGCTCTCTCGCTATTTCTGTAGTTCCCTTAGGAAAGATTTATAATATAATTCTTTAATTTATCATATTCTACATTCTGCCTTCAAATTTTTATTGCACTACTTCATATATAATGTAAGAACCTTACAACAATTTGCCTGCATTTCCTCCCTCTTGTCTTTTATGCTATTATTAGGTTTTACTTCTACATATGATATTAGCCCCATAATATATTCATAATATATTTTGCTCTTGCAAATCAACCTAGCTTCAGTTTCACTGATTCTTTTCTCTACTGTGTTAAGTCTGTGAAGCTTGGCTAAAAAAAAACAAAAACCAAAAAGACTTTATATTTGATAGCATGTTTTTTTCCCCTAGATTTCCACTGGAATGTTTCTATAGTCTCTTTCTCTCTGGTGATATTCCCTGTCTGTTCATGCACATTGTCCCATACCCTGTCCTATACTTTCCTATACTCTGACAGTAGTTAATCACTTGCATGCTTGTCTCTCCTTTCGTCATCACCCTTTGATATTCAGCTCACCTATTTTCTTTGTAGCCTTAGCTTCCTAATGGGCTCTAGAAAGTTATGATTTTGTAGTTTATCCTGCATTTTCTCACACCCTATTAGGATGGGAGCAACTTTCCCTTGTGGTGTTCTATATCCTAAGTGAAAGCAGGACTAACAAATTAGTTTAAATGCAGCCTTTGAAGATTACCTATGAAGATAACCTGACAGCTTTTAAAAGTTCAAGGAACCAAATGGAAAGCTATTCAAAGCAAGTGATGAATATTTGAAAAGTTAGCATGAAAGCTCCCTTATAGGTCTAAAGTCATACTGGTTTAGTTACAGTGTAGAGTATTATGGGAATAATTTTCCTGGTTTCTTCCTTGCATGAGGCAGAAAACAGTACTATTTCAGTGGAGGTATAGATTAGTGTAGTATCCTTGCATGATCCAGGTTTTATGTGCTTGCAATTAGGAATTTTCTGGTGAGTCTTCAGAGAGCCCACATTGTCTGTGTATCCTATGTATCTCTACTTCTCTTTCTTATATAAGGTTACAATATATAACATTCTATAAATATATTCCACAGTTTGTTTTATAATATGCAAATAAGAATGTCTGATATTCCTCTACAAATTATTTTTTACTGTCTTCTTCTCAATAAATGCCACCAGCAATCTCCTTTCTGTATGTGTGAAAATTTCTGTAATAAAGAGTTCAAATACAGAAACTTGAAAAAATATCGTTTGCACATGTTAGATTTGAGATGCCTGTTAGACGTGTTAAGTGGAAATGTCATGAAAGAAATTGGATATGTAAGTCTGAAACTCCAAATACATCAGGATTAGAGGTAGAATTTAGAGGAATCATCATCATATAAATGGTATCAAAACCATGGAACTCAAAGTTCTCACCTGGGGACATGCCAACATTCAGAGGAAAAAACTGAAAATAAGTGGGTGACAGAGAGCAGAAGAAAACCAGAAAAGTGTAGTAACAAAGAAGCTGGTAAAAGAAAAATGTTTCAAGATGAAAAAAATGATCAACCAAAGAATACTTAATGTGGAGTACGGTGCGGGCAGAGAATTCTAGGTGAGGACTATAGACTTGGGCCGTGGGTGGTTTTGGAAGCCTTCACTGTGGATGCCTCCGGATAATAGATAAAGTGAGAAGGAAGCTGAGGGAGCCGTGAGAGGTATGCGCAATGAGTTCATAAAAGGTTATGTCCACATATTTGAATTTGTGCACGCCAAATCTTTTGTATGGGTTATCATTAAAAGTCTCTAAGCACTAGAAATACATTTCTATTTCTAAAGGGGCTTTAAACAAACCAAAAATTGTGTGATTTTGGAACTCTGAATTAGAAGAGCTATGAATTACATGAGCCAGCTGACAGTTACCGTGACCGTTTGTCAGTATTTATGTGTATGGTAATTCATCTAATCTCTTTCTGAAATCTCCAGCATGCCTTTGGTATGAGCTGCTGTTCACGTGAAATTCCATGATACTATAATAACAGGGTTTGTGATTCCTGCCACATACCATTGACTAGATCGTGATCTTAAAGTCTTTTTCTAGAAACTCTTGCAATGAAGAATCAAGTGTAGTCTGCATTTTCCAACACTGTCATATCCACTGGGAAAAGCAAAAGTGTAAATCAAATTTTCTGGTGATGATCAGCTAAAGTTATGATTAGCTCAGTGGAGAGGGAGGGGACCTTGGCTTTATCTTAAAATCATTATATATACTAGAAGGAAATTGATTCAAATAGACTCACCATGAAACTAGACAGTGAGCCTCATTCTACTCATTACACTAGGACCTACGCCAACATTGCTTCATCTTTGGCATTTGCTATATCCTGTTTTGTTAAGTTAAAAAGCAGCTCTTATTTAATGCAGTGGCCTTAAAATTTTTTGCCGTACACTCCAATAGTAAAAAGCAATTTCTGAACTCCTCCCACCCGCATATATTTGTTTCTTTAAAGTGACCACATGTGCCACTGTTCTGATACAATCAGTATATTATAAAGCATACACAGAAGAACATTTGAAAAGGATGACCAAAAAAGGAATCGTCTTGTAAACTCCCTGATTACACAGACCACAGAGAGAGACGATTTGTCTCTTTCGAGACATAGGAGTTGATTTTTTTTCTGATTGTGGTTATAATGTATCCTTCAGTGCTCATGTCTGATATCTGACCGATTTAAAATAATGTAATCAAGGCCCAGAAGTAAACATTTACATTCATGGTTAATTTATTTATCCAGGACCTCATATAATGCAAGTTTTTCTAATCAGAACACCTTACTAAGCAAGCAAACAAAAACCTGTAATGTTTCTCCCCATTGTTTGTCAGTATAGTCCATAATTTACAATTTTGAAATCATAGTGGTCAATGTTAACGTCTATATGAACACTGATTTTAATATGCTTGTTCTTCTTTCAGATGACATTAAAGTATCAGTAAATGATTTTATCATCAAAGCAGCAGCTGTTACCCTTAAAGTAAGTAGCAGACCCCAATAATTTTGGTTTTCAAAGTAGCCTCACGTCTTTGGATTGTATGGTAAATAGAACTCATATTTTGAAATCACAGACATTTCGTAATTGTATTGCTAAAAGCGTTCCATCATTTAATCTTACTCCCTGGATTGTATAGATGAAGAAACTGAGAATCAAAAAGGCTTAAAACTAATTATAGTAGAATAGAGACCACTTATTCAACAAATACTAATTGTGCTAAATACACTTCTAGGCATTGGAAAAATGGTAGTGAACAAAAGCCTACATATTTTCTGGTCTCTACATATGTTCTGGTTAGGAGACACAAACAAATTTACGTTAGATAGTGAAAGTGCTAAGGAGAAAAAGAAAGCAGGGTAAGGGGACAGAATAACTAGGGGTGTTGTTTTCAAAAGGAAGGCCTCTCCAGCAAGGTGAAAATTGGTACAAGGCCTGCAAAAGGAGAAGGAGTGAGCCGAGGAGGCATCTGCTGGGAGATTGTTGCAGATGGGAGCAGCAGCCACAAAGGCTGTGAGGCGTGGATTGTGTCACTCACAGACATGACGCTGAGGATCAAGTGTTGCCTGGAATGGAGTTGGCATGAGCAGAGGGTAGGAGATGGAAATCATAATGGTAAAAAGATGATGGAGTCGAGGGTGGCCTGAAGTACCTGAGGCCTTGGTGGCCAAGGTAAGAACTAGGGATTTGATTAAAAATAAGAAGGAAGTCTTGGGAGGGTTTTGAGCAAAGAACTAATGTGATTCAACGTGCTGCTGTGGTTGTGTGGAGAGGCAAGGGCCAAAGCAGCGAGCTCGCCTAGAGAAGGTGACAGTGGTTTGGACTAAGATGGTAGGAATGAAGCTGGAGTGAAGGGGAGATTTTGGTTACGTTTCTAAAGCAGAGCCAATGGGATTTGCTGATGGGACTGGATATGGGATGTGAGAGAAAGGACGCACATTTGGGCCCAAAGCAATGGAGGCATGGAATTTTCCATGAACTGAGACTGGGAAAATAGGAGAGGAGCAGGTTTGAGGCAGGGTATCTAGAGTTTGGTTTTGGACATACGTATTAAGTTTGAGAAACCTAATAGTGTTCCAGTGAAGTGGCAGGAAGGCCAGTGAACAGTGGAGGTGTCTGACTAGAGATGTCAATCTGACAGCCCAGGCCTGCTGACTTCCTGCTCAGCACCATTTTCTGTCATGCCTTCTTTCTGTAACTAGGCTACTGCACTGCTTAGTAAGTGCTGTATGTAAAGTACATTTATAAGGGATTTTTTTTTTCTTGAACAAGACAATAATACAGAATTTTAAAGGTATGCCTTTTTAGCTGTTCATATCTAAATGTTAATTTGGCTTTTGTCTTTTGATCAAATAATATTGTGAATTATATTAATGATTTTCTAATTATGAATTATTCTTGCCCTACTTAAGTGACTCTATAGTGGCCATTAGCTGCTATTTGTTAATATTTCATAATTTTGTATCAGGAGCCATCATAATTATAATTTAAATTTTATGCTAGCTTTGTCAGGCTTTTCTTTTTTTTTTAATCAATGGCTTCATCAAAATGATTTTGGATACTCTATTCCTTTCCTTTCTCTGAGCTTGTTTCAATATAAAGAGTTTCATTTCTTGACGTTTTATAGAATTCACCAGTAAAAATATCCGAGCCTAGTTCTATTTTGAGGAGGGAGCCTTGGCAACTTTCTCGTTTTTTCCCCCACAATTATTAAGCAGTTTAATTTTCAGCTTTTTCTTGAGTCAGTCTTGGAAACTTACATATTCCCAGAAAATCATTCATGTCATTTGTATTCCCAAACTTACTGGCCTGGAGTCATTTACATTTTTTTCTTATAATTATTTTAATGTCCCCAGTGCCTGAGAGTTTGCTGAACTCTGTCTTGCTTTTATTATTGCATATTTATATTCTCACTCCTTTTATTACTGTTTCGTTATGTGTTCCTTAATTTCCATGGCTTATCTTGGTTAGCGGTATCTTGTTAGAAACCTTGAATATGTAATTCATTATAATTATTTTTTATTAATAAGATGAGTTAAGATTATAATTTTCCTTTGAGTATAACTTAGGCTGTGACCATATGGTTCTGTTACGTAGCTTTCTAACTAAATTTATTTGACAAATATTCTTTGTTTCTGAGGGATATTCACTTTAAGGGAGTGGTCAGAAGTTAGATAAGCAGGTAGAACCAAGTTGTGGATTGCCTTGCTTACGTGACATGCTGGGAGACTTGGATCTTAGTCTATAGAAAGCAAAGAATTTTTGAGAAGAGAATTTTGTTTTTGATTTCTATTTTTCAGCATAATTTTCTCTTGCGATATTTGGCAACATTATCAGTGTACATTGTTTCCAGGCATTTAGTCATTACATCTGGTTTTTTCCATCCTCAGTGTAGTTGTATGTATATTAAATACACACACACACACACACACACACACACACACACACACACACTAACATGTAGGATATATCCTGTTTATGAAGCTAGGAAATCTCTCCTAAACAGGGAAGTCATTTATTCAGGGCCTGCTAATACACTTCCCAGGGCTGTGCTAGAAATAGTCAGGCTTCCTCCATGCCACAGGAATAATGCCATGAATGTCACTACCCCTCTCCTCTCTCCTCTTCTCCTCAAGGTCATGTTGGTCACATGTTGAGGCAGGAAGTATAACAAATGTTAAAGTCTCTCTAGCAATCAGGTTTAACAAAGGGAGCCCTTTTCTTAACTATGATGTAAAGAGATCAAAATTTGTACGTCATCAGAATTTCCTCAAGCTTGCTTGAAAAAGAATGATATGTTTAGTTATTCTTCCCAAACATAAAAGACATTTAACACAGAGATCCAAACCAATTTTTCAAACTGAATTTTTATTTCCTTCTGCCTGGCTAGATTCACTTTCAATATGCATAATAATGTTAGTTATTTTTCTGTAACTGCCTTGGTCTAACACTGTTTCTTTAGTAGCATGTTTTTTTCTCTTCCTGTTTTCTAGCAAATGCCAAGTGTGAATGTAAGCTGGGATGGAGAGGGCCCAAAGCAACTGCCTTTTATTGACATTTCAGTGGCTGTGGCAACAGATAAAGGTTTAATTACACCGATCATAAAAGATGCTGCTGCCAAGGGTATACGAGAAATTGCTGACTCAGTAAAGGTATGCCTTAAGAAATACTGTTGTTTCAAAATGTTAGGTTAGCATTTACTTTCTGATAAAGCCTTGTCGTGATCTGGTTACTCTATGATTAATATAACATACATCTATCTATATATAATTGCATACCTATCAATATATAATTACATTGTGCACTTACACAGTGAAGAGTTCGCGAACTTAACTGTCTGACCTTCTATATTTATATATACAGGTGTGTGTATATATGTATGTGTGTATGTTTCCAAGTGATTGTCAGTTGTGTATATGGAGTTTTAAGTTTTTATCCAGTTATAAGCCATTTTAAGAACATTTAACATTCAGAAATTTAGAAAGAACATACAGATAATTCAGGGTCACCAGTATTCAAGTTACAGACAAGTAATGTACTTCCCAAAGTCTAGATATTATTTTAGAATGATTTTAAGGTTAAGGCTGAAACTATATTTTTACGAAATTGGTAATGCGTAGACCTCACTGTTATCATCATTTTATTCTTAAAAGCTTATTCATTCCTTTCTAGAATTGAGTATTTAGTATTCCAGAAGCAAAAGTACTTTTTTCCCCCCAAGTTTCTAGAAAAGCAGTTTTGTAGTTCCGATATGGAGGAATCTGATTTCACCAAAAATATCACGTTGAATAGACAGGAAGACAGGCATTAGGCAGCTTTGATACCCTTCAGCTTTGATAATAATTTCTAAGGGTGTTTTGGGGTAGAAATATCGCAAATCTTGAAGTGTTGAAAACCCACTGCAGCCCCACTGCAGCCTACGCCATTGCAGACACACAGCAGCCCAGATCCAAGTCGAGCTGTTGTTCACCATCTTAGCTGTAGAGGGCAGCGTCACTGGCCCTTAAGGGATCCAAACCAGGGCCCTCTGGCGTCCCAAGCCAGCTCTTACCAACGCGCCACTCGGCTGGCCCCCAAGTATTTACTTCTTGACCCTCAGTAATCCCAAGGATGTCAATGTGTGGTGCTATGGCATGTCTCAGCCAAGTCCAAGTTTGTATTTCCTAAATAAAGTAATATAGTAACAAGCCTTACATCCCACACTATTCTTAATTCTTCATTAATTATAGTAGTTTTAAAAGGCAGAGATAAAGTGTACCTCATTAATACCCGGTACATCTTTTGAATGAATTTGTGAGACGTGATATGTGTTAGAAGTGTTTGCTAGTCATCTTGTGTTACATCCTTCCAGCTGGATGCTTCAGGTAACACCTGCTTTGCTTTTAGTTCACATTTCACGTTACCAGGAAAGCCCAGTGAGGATTAGGATTTTTCAGAACCAGCGATTCTCCTCAGAATCTATTCTTACTCCAGGCTCTGAGAGTTCACTGATAGGAAAGTCCTGCTGGTATATTTAAGGTCTACAAAGGTTTTTAAAAGTGTATCATGTGCACTTGCAATCTAGTTTTTTCAATGAATGTGCTTTTTATTTGTTTTAGTGTGGTAGCTCATCAGGCTATGTGGAGATCAGCTGCCTTGAAAAAAATGCCTTTCAGAGTCCACATGATATGTGCCTGTTCAAATCATGTGAACAGTTATATTGGTTAAGGCTGGAAAAATACATTTGTAGATTGTTCTCTGTACTTCTGATATTCCACGGCCTATACAAGTCTGAGTCCATCTCTTCATTTTTCATTTTGAATCCAAATAGTTTCATGAGTAACTATATCCAAATAGTATAAATCTGTAGTTGTTGCCTTTGCAGTAAGTCACAGTGATACATTGAGATCATTTTTAGATTTTTAAAGAGTGTTTTCTTTTTCAAAATTTAAATCATTTATGGTTTAAAATTAAATAGTTGCTAACAGTGGTTGTAAAATTGTACTTATATTAGCTATATAATACAGACTATTAAGTAAGCCATGGACTTATTTCATCTACTCAAAAGACAGTAGCTTCATTTTTTTCTCTGCTCTTCTCATAAAGTAATTCATTATTAATTTTTCGTATGTAATGATTCAACCTCTATTCTCTTGCTTTTGAAGCATTGAAAAATAAGGATTAACAGAAGTTTGGTTAATTGCGAGGGCAAGTAGAGGAAAATTTAATTACATTTTTTAAAGTCACTCTGAGGGTATCATCTGTCTCTCTGAAAGTTTAGAAATCAATATTGTCAAGAGTGATATGAGATTACTACAGTCTTATATTCTGTGTGGCAATGTAAACTGGACTAGCTCATTCAGGCAATCCTTCAACTGTAAGATCAAAATAATGTCCATTTTCTAGGACTTAGTAATTCCACTTCCGAGAATTTATATGAAATCATTGAAAAGAAACCAGTGAACCAAATTATCACACTGGGGAAATGACTAAATAAATTCTGGCAGATGCAGTTTTTAGAATATTAAGCAGACATTTAAAAAATCGTTTAGAAAATGACTTAACACAAAAGATGTTTATAATATTGAGAAGTGAAATATAAAGTTCTGTTTTTTTTGTTTCGTTTTGTTCTTTACAACTGTCTGAAATTATATATATGTTATGGGTAGAAAGATGAAAACTGAAATGTTGGTTGTGGGTTTGTTGCCAGTGCATAATTTATCTAAAATACTAGATTGACAAGAATGGCTTCTTCTCATGTTTTGTCTTACAAGAAAAAAATCTATACACACAATAGGAAATACTGAAATATTCTGCATAGTAATGGTGCACAAGGTAATTCCAGTGTTTGAAGAATTTTTAAAGGAAAGTGATTTTTCTAGATTTTTGATTCTCATCTTTAGCTTCTTGGATTATCTGTGCTCTAACTTGTCCATTTTTAAAATTGTTTTAGAGAAAATTATATATCTATTAAAACATCTTATAAAGTCAAGTCAAAGCATATCAGGGATGAGAGTGTACTCTGTACAAATATTTTAAGTGACAAGTACCCTTTACTGTGTATAACATATCGTTGGTTGACATACTTTGTTTGTATTTTTCTCAGGCTCTATCAAAGAAAGCAAGAGATGGAAAATTGTTACCAGAAGAATACCAAGGAGGGTCTTTTAGGTAAAATTTAAACTCTTTAATTATCAGTAGCATCAAATAGGTATGAGACTTATAAAGTGCATGTTAACCTGTTTTATTTATTTTCTGAAACATGTTTTTAATTTAAGTTAAATATCACATACTTTATTTAGATAAACAGAATATGTCAAAATATATAATCATAGTTTCATATTAAAGCTAGTAGGAACCCATTAAGGTTAGCTATTTAACCCATTCAAAGGTTCATAGAATGACATTCAGAGTCTGAAATTTAAAAATAATATATATAAATACAATAGATTTATAAATCTCAATTTTTTTTCTTGCGATCTGGACCCTTCAGTTATTATCAGCTCTATTTTTATTTAACTGTAACTTATACTATGTGTAGCTTGAATGTTTGACAAAGTAAAGAAACCTGTGTAACCAACCAAAGCAAGATGTGCTCTCTTTACCCTTCCTAATCCCCTTTAAAGGTAACCACTATTCTGAAAATTATCACTAAAATTATATATAGATTTGTTTTGCTTCCTTTGATCTCTATGTAAAGACATATTCTTGGTGCCTGACTTCTTTTACTCAACATTAGTGTCTATGAGATTGCACCCATGTTGCTGTGTGAAGCAGCCTTTTATCTGTTACTGCAGTATATAGTATTCTGTGGCATGCTGTATAAATAGGCCAGTGGATATCCATTTTACTGTTGTTGGGCATTTGTGTTGTTTACAGTTTGGTGCTATTACAAATAATGGTGCTATGAACATTTTTTTAGTGTCTTATGGTGACTATGTATACATATTTTTGTCGTATAGACCTGAAAGTACAATTGCCAGGTTAAACGTTTTAATAGGTTCTGCAAACAGTTTAACAAAATGGTTATGCAAATTTATACTTGCATCAACAGTGTATGAGAATTCCCATTAATAATGTTAGTTTTTAAATTTTAACAATTCTCAGGGTATGTAGTAGTAGTCTTTGTGGTCATTAGTGATAATGAAAACTGTTTTCATTTACCTATCAGCCATTTGGGTATATGGTAACTCACCAGACAAAGGACCTGTTGAAGTCTTGTGTCCATTTTTAAAAATGATTTGTAGAAGTTCTTATTTCCAGATACACAGACTTGTAGGATCTGTATTATTTCAAATACCATTTCCCACTCTGCAGGCCTTGCTTTTGAAACTTTCTTGATGGTGTTTTTAATAAACAGAATTTCTGAATTTTAGTGAGGTTCTATTTATCGGTATTTTTCTTCATAGTTGGTACTTTTTGTTGTCTGTTAGGAATTATTGCCTGAACAGTCACAAAGTAATTCTCCTATGTTGTCTTCTAGAAGCTTTATAACTTTTCACATGTAGATCATAATCCATCTGAAATTGGATTTTGTTTATGGTATGAAGATAAAAGTCAAGATTCTCTTTTTTTCTCATGTGGATATTAATTTGACCCAATGCCATATATTTAAAAAATTATTCCTTCTCCAGAGCATTGAGAAGGTGACCATGTACCTATGTGTTCAGCCTGTTTCTCTCTTCTTTCCTGTTTTCATTCGGCATGTTTGTCCCCTTCTTGGCACCACCAAGCTATAACTTTTGATACCAGTAATGAATGTCTGTTTGTTCATCTTCGAGATTGTCTTTCCTGGCTCTGTATATTTCCAAAGAAATTTTAGAATCAACTTGTCTTTTTTCTTACCCACACACACACATACATACAAGCCTTGCTGGGATGTTGATTGGGATTGCATTGAATCTTTTGATTAGTTGAAGGAGAATTGATCTTTGCGGCATTGAGTCTTCTAGTTGGTGAACATGGCGTAAACCATTGTTTATTCAGTTCTTTGCTTTCCTTCAATTATATCTTAAAATTTTCTATATAGAGGTCTTACATATGTTTCATTAGATTTCTTCCTTGATATTTTTTGATACTATTGTAAATGTTATTGTTCTTGAATTTTGTTTTCTAATTACAACTTGTATATAGATATAAAATGAATTTTTATATTGACCTTTTGTCTAGTGACTTAGCTAAATTCACTTCCTAATCTGACTGGTTTATCTGTAGAGCCTTAGATTTTCTGTGTACACAATCAATTCATCTGTGAATAATAACTGTTTAATTTTTTTTCAGTCCTTACACTTTACATTTCTTTTTCTTGCCATATGCTACTGCCTAGGACATTTAGTTCAATGCTGAATAGGTGTTTCTATTTGATATAATATTTGTATGTATGTCAATTATTTGTGTTTTGATACTATTGTCAATAATATTGTTTGTCTTTGGTCTTTGACTCAGTATAATATCCGTAGCACAGTTTTTTAGTAAAGTAAAAATACATGCTTGGGGAAAGGGTTCTTTGAGGACATGCCACCTTCAGAGCCTTTTGTTTCCCCCTAGTATTTCCAACTTGGGGATGTTTGGCATCGATGAATTTACTGCAGTGATCAACCCTCCTCAGGCCTGCATTTTGGCTGTTGGGAGATTCCGACGTGTGCTGAAGCTCACTCAGGATGAAGAGGGAAATGACAAACTACAGCAGCACCAGCTCATCACGGTCACAATGTCCAGTGACGGCCGAGTGGTAGATGACGAACTAGCTACCAGGTTTCTTGAAACTTTTAAAGCAAACCTAGAGAATCCTATTCTACTTGCCTAGCCCTCATAGATAGAGCTGTTACCCACAAACATACACTAGTCGAAAAAAATTAATATTTAAGTGTGAAGTGGATGAAATGTTTACTTATTTAAGGTGAAAACGTTTGACCTGAGTTGTCTTCCTTTCCAGTTTGGGTTTAATGTTGTAGGACAAATGATAACAAACTGTTACAAATGAAAGAGAACGTTTGGTTAGTCAGATCCATTTTTAACCTCTGGTGCTGTACTAGATGTAAATTAAACTATGTGTTTGACTCCTTGCAATGTTTTAGAATATTTGAAAATGTATGATAAATTGTAAACTCAAAAAAATTGTTGCAATTCTTCTTAATTGTATTGAAAGAGATGCCCATTAATTTAGCATTGGGACCTCACTTTTACAAGTACTGCTCTAGATATACTTGAACAACTTAATTTGTACAGAAGTTTATTCTGGATAATAGTAAATAAATAAGGATCACATTGTATTTGGGGTTGTGGCAACATTATTGAACTTTTTATGTATATATAGCCATATGTTTTAGAGTGCTTTCTATCAGTCTTATTTTTTACTACTGTAACACTGTGAACTTCTAAAGAAAAAGAATAAAACAATCAAAACTGGAGAGAGAGAAAGACCAAAATATTTGTTTGTTTCAATGATCAACTATAGTTTAAATATCTAAACCCTCAGAAATTACTGCTCACCTTCATACTAAGTTGGAATATATTAAAATAAATTATACTATTTCTTATCAAACATTTTAAGTTAATATTGATTTAAACACAGAATGTTTCAAATTTGTACTGTGCAATAAGTTGTGAGAAAATACAAAAATTTCTATTGTGTTTTAAGTGTTTAGGACACAGATGTTTAGGGAAAACTTGAAGTAGATTAGTAATTTCCCTGGAACCAGCTTAAAAGGGACACTCCAGAAGAAAAGAAGGAATTTAAAATTAATGTGGCATTAGGAAAACAACAGCTATGGAATGTAAAACTTTGGAAAGAGAGTAGAAGAGAAGCCTTATGAAGCAGGTGAGAACTATCCTTTTTATTCCATCGATGATATGAAATGTTCACTAAGTATCAGAAAGGTCAGAAGAGCTTATTTTTCTCTTTTAACAACTCTGCTACAACTGGCAAGATAGCTGTACCGAAGTTGGATGGTAGTTGAATTAACCAGTCACAGGAAGACTCGTGTTAGTATCTGCTGACGTGAATCACCAGAAGACAGACTATGTGGTACAGGTTATGTGGTATGATTTGATGGGCTACTTATCCTCTCAGAAAAGAGCCTTCTAAAATAGAGCTCCATTCTATCCATTGTTAAGAAAATGCTTACTCCCATTCTGTTTTAACATGTGTTTTAAAAATAGTCTCCAAAACTCTTGTCATATTAGCAGTTGTACTGAAAGTGGTAACCAAATGCTGCTTTCAAACAACTTTTAGCAGTTACATTATTTTCAGTCAGTTTTAACTGAAATTGGTTTTTTCCCCTAATTTTTATATCTGATGCATAGAGCTTGAGCCAGCCATAAGTAACCCTTGGCTTGGAGTTCTGCTTTCCATGGCCTGAGGTGCATAAACCGTAATGCGTCTGTTTCCCTGTGGGTGAAATGGGCACTGAACCCCACCCCAGGCTGCCTTACAGCATTATTGTGAACTGCCCAGGAGAAATGCTGTATAAATTTAAGATATTTTAATTCTCCATGGACATCACAACCAGGCTTTTCATATAATGAGTTGCTTCTCATAGTTTGACTTTTCATGGTTTGACTTCTCCGCTGTGGGTACAAGTGCTCATTCATGCTGACTAAAAATATTTTCTCTAGTATCGCTATGTACTGCTTGGGTTTATGTAAGGAAATTGTCATTTCATTTCTGAAAAGAATTTTATTGCTCTGTGAGGTCAAAGGCTAACACTGATTTGGGAAAGCAGTATATGGTGTACTTGGTTTGCATCATTATAGAGAAGGAACCGTGTGCTGCTTGAGCAGGCCCTGTATACACATTCTGTATCTATACTTGGAGTACTGATAGCTATCACACGAGAGGATGTGAAAACCAAATTTGATACCTTGTCATCTTTTTTCTCATTTAAACAGTGAAAATGACTATACTATTGGGAAGACTTCTAAGGAAAAGGTAATGCCCATTCCAGTTAACACTTAGGCATGAAAATAACAATGAACATTAGAATTTGTAAGTTAAAATAGCCCTGCTTCTCCCTGATTGCCACTTCTAGTTAACATTTACAGGTACAGTTTGTTTGCTCACTAACTATTTTGTAGCAGATTAAAATCATCAGTGTACTGCTGGTCAGACTCCTTTGTTTGGAACATTACTAAGTTATATATATATATATATTGGTGTAGGTATTTTATATATAGTGTCAAATGGAACTTGTATTTTTAGATTTTTTGTTTTCTTTGTTACATTTTGGACTTAATTTCAGACTACATTGTATAGGCCAGCCATTTGTGCATTATGCTACAAGTAAACCTAGTTTCCTAACCTTTTATTGAAAGGTAGGTGGTGCTGTGAGTTAATGTATTGTACGTTGAATGTGGGAGAAAAATAAAAATGGCATTTAAATCTTGGTTTTCCAGGAAAATTTGTCCTCATTACACATTGCATGATGATAGATTTTGTCTCAGGTGAAATGAATAAATGAAAGAACCAAGTGTGTGGCATGTAAGAATTAACCATTAATTTAAATGTGACATTATTAATGGGGAACTCTTTTTGGTCTCAGAAGAAAGAAGTAACAATGTAGAATTACTTTCAGACTAGGCTAAAAGGGAGCGGACCGCAGTCAGCAGGAGCCAGCTGGAAGCTTCTGCTAAAAGGAAAGCGTGAGTTCTTTAGATTATGCACTAGTTCAAATGGCTTTCAAGAAGGGAGAACATGAAGCATATTGGAGATGCTGGTTTGCTGTGGTGTATTATGAATTTATGGGGCGGGTGTGTGCTGTCAGATAGTGCAGCAACAGTGAGGCAGTTTCCCAGCCTAAAACACAGTGCCCCGTGGTCCCCGTCACCAGTATACAGAAGGTTAAGATTCTGAGCAGTTATATACAGCACATGGTGTATTTCAGGAGACAGTCAACCTTTTTATGAATGGATAAAGCAATCATCTTCCAATGACATTTTAAATAGTTTTGTGGATTTAAAATTTTTATTTTCTAGTGTCTCCATTGGTTTCAAGAGATGGGGACAGATAGGTTGGTGGGAAGGTGTGATTTGTCTAGACTTGTAACACTGAAGACCCCATTGAATTGAAATGATAAGGTATAAAGATGTATTTTGAAAATTATGATTTGCCTTAGTGAGTGGCTGTCTTATTTCTTTGATCACATAAAATTTACTTTCACATTTTATCACTTGTTTATATTTTTTTCAACAAAGCCAAAAGCAGCCTTCCCAGCAAAGTAGGTATTTTTTAAACCTCTAATTTAACCTCGACTATGTATGATACGTAAAATTAGGGAACCTTGGGCTTTTATTAAAAGTTGAGAAATTATTAGCAAAATTTATTTTTCTGAAATTTCTTAGTTTATGAAATTCTTTATTACTCCTATCACTAAAATGTAGAAGGTCTGTTAAAGATAAGGTTATTTGTGATCAAATTAAATATTATTCATAACACTTTATAAAGCATAATGTATTCTATAAATCTAAGATGTTAAATTTTTAATCGCATAAATTGCACTTATTCTACACTTTTTATCTGTGCCTTATCAACAGCCTGTTTGATAGGGAATGGCATTTATCAGGAAGCTTATAGGATGCCACTTAAGAAATTACCGTCCTTGCAAGTGGAACTACTGGCTTTTAGTACATACTTTATTGCCCAAGTTTGCATACTTAAATCAATGTATTTTAAGCCTTTAGTATTTTAGTTTCAATTTTATCTATAAATCACTGCACTCAGTAAAAACCTATTTCTGTGCTTCCATATTCTATTACCTATAAAATGAAGCAGGAGGAAAAATTAATCACAGCGGTGTTTGCTGATCTCATTTAACCTCAATTCTCTAAGGTAGGTATAGCCTACTTTACTATCATTGCAGACAGGATAAGGAAACTCAGAGATTGTGTGGTTTGGTCAACAGCACACAGCACCAAAGTGCCAGTTCTGGGATTTGAACCTAGTAGGTCTGTGCTGCGCCAAAATTCGAGCTCACTACTTTGCAGTACACAACTTTCTAAGCTCTGTTACTGCTGCTGAGATAGTTCATGTTAACAGGTAGCATTTTCCACTTGTAATAACTGCAGGGCCTGTTCTTCGGTCATGACGCTAGTGTGTTTTCTGCATGGCCACACTTAATTCCTACGTTCTCTGTAGTGGATTTCTTTATGCATTGATGGTAATTGTACGCAGAAACTGCTGAGGGATTTTTATTTTCGTTATGGGCAACTATTAACTCGAAATGCTGAGGTAAAGTGTTACAACTTCTGTCTCTGAATGGAAGGCTTAGAAAATATAACCTTGAAAAATTAGTTTCTCTAAGTTTCTCTAAGGATAAAAACATGATATAGAACATTGTTACTTTTCATAAGTATCTTTGCAGCTGGTCCACATTCAGAATCAAAAGTCGTTACCTCAGTTTTTATTTTGGAAGTTGTAGGTTTCTATACTGACAGCTGTATCAATGAGGGTCCAGTCTTCTATAGTGACCACCTTATCAGTCAGGGTCCAATGTTTGCGGCCCACTGGATGGCAGAGAAGCTCATTGCATTGCCCAGGCCGGATCTGTCTGCAGTCACCAGGGAAATAGGAAGCCATCCTTCGTATTTTGAGGTCAGACTCAGTTGCTGGGCTGGTGCACTTAGGGCGATCAGGGTGCCATTACAGACGGGAAGCCTGGAGCACTTAAGGTCTGTGTGGGGAGGACCATGGGAAGGTGGTCACTGGGCCGAGCTGGGACTGCCATTCTGGGCAAAAGGCAGGGGCAAAGCATCACGGGATGTGTACACCTGCTGACCAGCCAGGCAGCAGCTGGAATGAGCAATGTCCCTAGGGCACCTTCTACTGAGAAAACGTAACATGCTGTTTGGTGTAAAGGAGAAAAGCTTAAAACAATCACTGATTATTGTTGAGCAGGTATTGAAGGCTACGTGTGCATCTGAGAGAGAACATATTTGTAACTGGCACCACAGCCCAACCAGAGAGGCTGGGAAGTAAAATGTGATCTCATAATTTGGAATAATGCCCAATAAGACACCTTATAAAGGGATAGCAGTCTATACTAGACCTACTTTGTGTGGAGAAATCTACCTAGGCTAGAGGTGATACTGAAAATATTGTCACTTTTTTTCAAATAAATTCCCCTGTTTTCTAGAAGAGACATTTATTAAACTGTGAAACAAAAGAAAGTGTTGAAATACATTATTCATTCAACGATGGTGAGCATCTGTGCATGGGTACTGAGGACTCATAGCTAACAGCCCTTACCTTCAATCAACTTAAACTGGTAAAATAAACATTAATTTCTTAAATTATCGTTTGGGAAATTCTCTACTGAAATTTTATTTCCTAGGTGGATATTTCAATACAATTTTTCTTGTCATGTAATTACATAGTTCCCATTGAGTAGATGCAGACCTTTTCTTTATATGGTTATATGCTAACCATGAAAATATAATAGTAATAGGTAACTTACTGTGTTCCAGATGTTCTGAATGCCTTATATGTATTATTAACTCATTAAGCCTTCACCACAACCCCATCACATAGTTATCAGTATTTCACAAAAGACATGTTAAGTAACTTGTCTAAGATTACACAGGATTCAGGGCAGGTAGTCTGGCCCCAGAGCTTCACAAGAGATTACTCTTTTGAAAATTTATTAGGAAATTCTGTAATTTAGCACATTAAAAAGACACTGAGCTGGGGAAATGCCTCTCTGTTGACAGTGAAAACAGCTTGTTGAACTCAGTAGCACCTCCTACATGAATATAGAAATAATATAGAAAGAAGTCTGTAGCTAAATGTCAGTAACCGGACATTTAGTGTCCTCTAGATTTTAGTATTAATGAATGATCTATCCCTTTAACCTTTAACCTGCTGATTCGTGAAGGGGAAGTAGCTGTGTGGATTAATAATTAAGATCAGAAACAGAAAAACACCTCAGTGTTCTTATTTAGAGGACAACTCACTGGGTGATGACCAAAGAGTTCTTTACTTTTGCTCAGGGATAACAAGGTTTGGAAAAAGAAATGTCTAATAATAATTTTTTAAGTTAATAAATGTCCTTGTGGTTGAAAGTACATGTTCTTTCTATGCAGATAGCAGAATTTGGTAAGTAGAAATATCTCCTTGATTTTCCCCAGATTGTAAATTTCTTGAATATGTTTTTGTTTGAAATATAGCACTTCTCCACCCCTCATCCTTACTATCACCAACACAATTATGAATTTGCTCACACCTTGTAGGATGCCAGACTGGGTTTCTCCCACTCTTTCCCCTTTCTCAACCCCCTAAATGTCAGTCTGACCTTCACCCAACACATTTGTTTTTTAAGGGCCTGAGGAATCGTGTTGGGGCAATTCTGTGCCTAGGTTTCAAGGTCATACCGATTAAGTGAAAGTGTTACCATTTGTCAAGACTAGTTCATAACATGCTTTCTGTAAGATGTTCTGAGGCTAGTTTCCCTTTTGTGATGGGTGGATGTGTGACCGTTTTATGATGGTAGCATTGACTCATCTCTTATTCCGAGGTCAGAGAAGTCTTTTTGTGCATTTATGTTTGCAACATTGTAAATAAGACACCAAAAGCAGCTTACCTGACGACACCTCCTTATCTGCATCAATTGTGCTTTTTCATTAATGAAAAATTGCACTCCATTTAATTGGAGGATAACTGTTTAGCAAAGGTTTGTACCTCATGGTACTCAGATAATAACAGGTATTTGGTGGGTTTTTTTTTGTTTTGTTTTGTTTTTTAAAGGAAAAATCATTGAGTATGTGCGGGGGGTGGGGGGATAAGATTGTAACAAATGGAAAAATACTTATGTTATTGAATAGATGCATGGACAAGGACACAAGAGTAACATGAACAGTCAGAAACCTGATTTGATCAGAGACAGGTCTGACATTCTCTGTTTTATTTAGAAAAACTACAGTTTCGTTGTAATTTTTTTTTTTTAGCACTGAAGGAAACTCCTTAGTGGTTAGTGTTCGCTATTGGCATTGGCCTAAAGTTACCACACAAGAAGTCTGCCAAACAACAGAATTTTTTAAATTTCTATACATCTTGGTTTGGTAGCTGTTTTATTTCACCTTTAGAAAGACATTTTAAAATCACAAGCGATGACAATTTAAAAATAAATGTGTAAGAAACCCTGATATTCATGTACACGTCCTGCTTGGTGACCCTTTGTTCTGTGTCCCAAACATGTTCCAAATTTGACAAGAAGATTCAGCTTTGTTGCCTACTTTGATGCCTCTGCCTGCCCCCTCTGCTCCCAAGGAGCCATGTATGTGGATTCAAGGGCAGGACATTTATTAGGTTATGGTGCCATGACTGCCATCTATTAGGACTCCCTATTAATTTGCCACATGGCAGGTGTGATCAAATCAGCCTGAAGCTTTCCCTTCTTAGAGGGCAGCCTTCTTAGGAAGGCTGAATTAGATTAAATTATCTGCCTTGAGTCTTTAGGGCAATCTCTCTTCCTTTTGATTTGTGTTCTTGGACAATTCTTTGTAATGTTCCTGACGGAAGGGTAAGCTGAAGAGCTGGGAAGAGGGTGTGGACCTCTGTATAGGCTAGAAGAAGCCAAGGAAGCTGTTCAGCCTGTATTTGTTCATTTAGGCAGTGGTGTGCTGGTAAATGTTTAACAACCAGCTCTGAGAAAGAAGCGTCTGTGCATCTATTATCAAGTGTAAGTCCATTAGAAAGTTTACTGATATACAAATAATAAAATAGTCAATTGATAAATTTAATAGGATCTGCAATATTAAATATAAATGTAACATAGCAATAATTCAATAAAATGTACAATTCACAAATAATAAAACATACAACTCTATTGTAAATTTGATTTATAGCTCACTGATTCTTACAGAATGCTTTCATTGGTTTTATGGAACTCCTGTATCTGTAGCCAAATTATTATTGATGAATAAGTGTGGTCCCTGACATGAATGTTGGCTGATATTTTTCTTTAAATGAAAGAATAAGATTAAAGTTAAAACAGCAAAGACATGTGTTGGAATTTTACTTGTTTGTCAATAAAGAGAGTAATGTTTTTACTGAAATCAGACAATTTTCAAATACTGGAAAATATTTCCTCAAATACTGTGCTATTTACAATATACCAGCTACAGACATGACATTTTTAAGTTTAGTCTGCAGTATTGACATTTTTCCATCACTTTTTCCTTAATTTTTTTTCTATTACAGTTGACATTCAGTATTTATTAGTTTTAGGCGTACAGCATAGTAGTTAGACGTTCATGTAAATTACCATGTGATCTCCCCAGTAAGCCTCGTATCCATCTGACACCATACATAGTTACTACAGTATTGTTGACTATATTCCCTATGCTGCAGGTTACATCCCTGTGACTATTTTGTAACTGCCAATTTGTACTTCTTAATCCCTTCACCTTTTTCACCCAGGCACCCAACCCCCCTTCCATCTGAAAATTATAAGTTCTCTGTATCTCTGAGTCTGCTTTGTTTGTTTGTTTGTTTTTAGATTCCCCCTTATAAATGAGATCATATGGTATTTGTCTTTCTCAGACTCATTTCACTTAGTGTAATATCCTCTAGGTCCATCCATGTTATCATAAATGATAAGATTTCATTTTTTTTATGGTGGAGTAATAATTCCATTGTATTGGGTTGTCGGGAAAGTCACGATGCATTTTTGCAACGAAAAACAGAAAAAATACGTCATGACTTTTCCGACAACCCAATATCTACGATGTGTGATCATAAAATACGGTGTTTTAAAAAATTTTATTTCAGTAAAAGACACACTACCATTAATCCCCTTCACTTTGAACACACTTAACCCCTTGTTCTTGCCACTTTCTGAAACAGTTCTAGAAGTCCTTTTTCATGAGTGTCTTTAGTTGTGCTGTCATGGCTGCCTCGATGTCCTGAATCGATTCAAAACGTTTACCTTTCACGGTCATTTTGACTTTGGGGAAGAGCCAGAAGTCTCATGGTGCCAGATCTGGTGAATAAGATGGATGAGGACAGGGCCGGCTGAGTGGCTTGTTGGTTAAGAGTTGGCTTGGGAGCGCAAGCTCTGAGCAATAGGGCCACTGGTTCGGATCCTACGTGGGCCAGTGACACTGCGCCCTCTACAGCTAAGATGGTGAACAACAACTCAACCTGCAGCTGGGCTGCCGTGAGTCGCCGGCGACGGCGTAGGCTGCAGTGGGCTGCCAGAAGCCACTGTGAGCATCCAGCAGCCAGCGAGAGCTGCCATGAGCTGCCGTGAGTGGCCATCCAGTGGCCGGCGAGCAACTGCCTCACCCGGGAAGAGCACAATGATCACAATACCAACGTAGGCCAGTGAAGCAACGTCCTCCACAACTAGACTGAAGAACAAAAGGACAGAACTTGTCTGTTCCTCTTCCCCGATTTCCCAACACTGTTCTCTCCCAATTTCCCAATAAAATCTTTAAAAAAAAAATGGATGAGGACACATTGTAATGTTTTTATTTGACAGAAATTGCCATACCAGAAACGATGTGTGACATGGAGCCTTTCTGTTTTGATCACAAAATACGGTGAATGCTGCTGACAAGTGCCGTCCAACGGAAAGGCAAGGATCTTCAATACGGGAAGCAGTGCATCAAACCTTAGTAACTGTGTGTGACAAGTTTCAACTTGTTCAATGCAGCCAGTCGGGTGTGAGCGATGGTTGAGAGAAGGTGTGTTTTAAAGTGTGCTATAAGTCATCCTCCATCATGACAACGCTCTGTGTCACACATCGCTTCTGGTATACGGCAATTTCTGTCAAATAAAAACATTACAGCGTGTCCTCGTCCACCTTATTCTCCAGATCTGGCATTGTGCGACTTCTGGCTCTTCCCCAAAGTCAAAATGATCTAGGACATCGAGGCAGCCACAACAGTGCAACTAAAGACACTCACGAAAGAAGACTTCCAGAACTACTTCAGAAAGTGGCAAGAACGATGGGATTAGTGTGTTTGAAGCAAGGGGGAGTATTTTGAGGGAGATTAATGGCAATGTGTCTTTTACTGTAATGATTTTTTTTTTATTTAAACATTCACCATATTGTTTTGATCACACCTTGTATGTACCACATCTTCTTTATCCAGTCATCTTTTGATTGGAGCATTTAATCCATTTACATTTAAAGAAGTTATATATAACTACTAGTTATATATAGTTATTGCATTTTATTGTTTTCTGATTGTTTTTGTAGTTTACTGTCCCTTATTCTCTTTCTTTTTTCTCTTGTATGTTGATGACTTTCTGTAATGTTGTTTGGATTCTTTTCTCTTTTTTTCTTGATGTCTCATAGATTTTGGTTTGTAGTTACCATGTGCTTTGTATATACCAGCCTATGTTTATAGCATTCTATTTTAAGTTGATAGTCACTTAAGTTCGAACACATTTTAGAAACACCACTTTTTAACTCACCCCCTCCACACTTAATGTATTTGTCATTATTTTTTACTTAGTGTGTGTGTGTGTGTGTGTGTGTGTGTGTGTGTGTATCCCTTAATTTGCTGTTGTAATTACATGTGATCTTCCTACTTTTGCCTTTTAACCTTTGTATTAGCTTCAGTTTTGGTTGATCCACTGCTTTTATTGTGTTTGTCAGTGAGAATTTTTTTTTCTTTCTGATATTTTTCTTATTCATATGTATCTTTTTTTTTTTCTTCTTAAAGAAGTCCTTTTAGGTCCGGCTGAGTGGCGCGATGGTTAGGAGCTGGCTTGGGACGCCAGAGGGCCCCGGTTCGGATCCCACATGAGGGCCAGTGATGCTGTGCCCTCTACAGCTAAGATGCTGAACAACAGCTCAACCTGGAGCTGGGCTGCTGTGAGTCGCCGGCGACGGCATAGGCTGCAGCCCCTGCTGCAGTGGGCTGCCATAAGCTACCATGTGTAGCTGGCAGCCAGCGTGAGCGGCCATCCAGAAGCCGGCGATTGGTCTGCCTCACCCAGGAAGAGCGCAATGATGGTGCCAAGTTGGGCCAGTGAGGCAACATCCTCCACAACTAGACTGAAGAACAAAACGACAGCAACTTGTCTGTTCCCCTTCCCCAATTCCCCACCGCTGTTCCCATCCCCCCAATTTCCCACCGCTGTTCCCATCCCCCCAATTCCCCAATAAAAATCTTTTAAAAAAATAAAAATAAAAAAGAAGTCCCTTTAACAATTCTTGTAATACTGATTTGGTGGCAATGAATGCCTTCAGCTTTTTCTTGCCTGGGAAGCTCTTTATCTGTTCTTCGAGTCTAAATGATAGCTTTGCTGGGTAGAATAATCTTGGTTATAGGCCCCTGCTTTCTATGACTTTGAATATTTCGTGTCACTCCCTTCTGGCTTGTAGAGTTTCTGTTGAGATTTGGCTGATAGTCTTATGGGATCTCCCTTGTAGGTAACTACATTTTTCCATTACTTTCTTAAGCCCAGAGACAATCAACAATAAATCAAGCCCTTGATTTTTAGCAGTTGCTTATTTCCATGGTATAAATGCCCTGATCTCAGGTTACCAATGCGATGTCACTGAATGCAGAGTTGGGAAGATGCACAGCCATACAGCATTATATAGCATTTCCCACCATTACTTAACAACAGATGTACAAAAACCTCAAGAACATAGGTAATAGTAAAATGTTGTAAACGATTAACAAGTGATGAGCTTTAGGTATTTGTTTTTGATATAATTTTTTATTTAATAGTATGCTTATAATTTATATATATATTTATAATTTAACTTTTTTTTTTTTTTTAGCTGAGCCATCCTGCCACCTGTTGGCAGCTCAGCGGCAGCTCAGCTCGGGCCGAGCATCAAACCGCTGTTGCTCAGAGCTCTATAATTTAACTTTTAATAAGGGCTTGAAAAACTTAATATTCGGCTCTCACGAGCTAGTAAAAACCAGCGTTAGCACACTGCTGGCCTTATGCCTTCCATCTCAGATCAGAGGTTCTCTAACGGTGGGGGGGGCAGGGAGAAGACATATGCCAATATGCCATGCTTGTTTAAATATGGAATCCATGGCCCCACCTCTGGAGATAAGTCAGGTGAGGCTTGGAATTATAGTTCAAAACAAAACCAGACCCCCCCAGGTAATCGTGATGTGTGACGTGATATAGGAACTATCTTCCTCTGGCAAGAGTGCTGGTAGTCCAAGCTAGCTCACTAGGATCTACTGCATCAGGATTTGAGGCTGGAGTGCTGTTAACAATACGTCTTTCTTTGCCTGGTCTTGTCCTCTGTTCATTTATTGTATCCCTTTGTAACCTCATGAAGGAGAGGGTAGAATGGGGTTGAGGAGAAAGAGTTTCCAAGTTTGAGATCCTGGGACTTGGCCACTTTTTCTACCACTATTAACATAACGATATCTTGGCTAGCACCACCACTATCCTGTGGAAGTAGAAATCAACCCAATTTCTCAGTTCCTAACCAGAAATTAAGACTCTTAGAGACCACTGAAAAAGCAGAACTGGATATGAAAGGCTGTGGGCTAGTTAGCTGGAAACGAGATCTTTTGCCTGAGTTCGCTACTGACTCACAGGGAAGTTTTCTGTTCAGTGGCCCATATTTTCAAATGTCGTTGCTTACTTAGTAAAACTTAACAGCAAAGCATGATTGGCTCTTGGGTTAGTTTGGAGCTTAGTCCACAAATGGAAAGGAATGGTGGCCTCCATCATTTTTTGAAATTAATTCATGAAAACCTGAAATTAGAATACGTGAAATGGAAAGTGATATTTTTTTCAAAAGGGCTTTTGCTTTATGAAAAGATCCACAGAAAACCACCTAGAGAACTATCCCTTCAGATAGTTTAAAATGGTGCTTACAAAAACTTCATTTATGTATATGTTTGTCGAAATACACTAATTACATTAAACATACTGAACCTACATCCATCATACAGTATCTAGAACCTGTCTCCTTTTATCTGTGAAATAGGAAATATAACCTAAATGGGGGGAAATCAGGGGGTTAAATACTAGGATAAGGGTATGTTTGTGGGGGGGCAGTAATGACACAAAAACCTT